GACACACAGGAGTCTTCTCCAGCACCATAGTGCTGGAGAAGACCTCAATTCTTTGGGGTCTCAAAGGCCTCAATTCTTTGGCGCTCAGCCTTCCTTATGGTCCAACTTTTACAGCAATACATTGCAACTGGAAAAACCATAGCCTTGACTATACGCACTTTTGTTGGCAGGTGAGGTCTCTGCTTTTTAGTATGCTGTCTAGAAAGCCATAGCTTTCCTCCCCAGGAGCAAGAGTCTTTTAATTTCTTGGCTGTAGTCCCCATCTGTGGTGATCTTGGAGCCCAGGAAAATAAAATCTGTCACTACCGCCATTTCTTCCCCATCTATTTGCCAGGAATTGAGAGGGCTGGATGCCATGATCTTAGTTTTCTTAATGTTGAGTTTCAAGCCAACTTTTGCACTCTCCTTCTTCACCCGCATCAAGGGGCTCTTTAGTTCCTCTTCACTTTCGGCCATTAGAGTGGTATCATCTGCATATCTGAGGTTACTGATATTTCTCCTGGCAATCTTAATTCCAACTGTGATTCATCTAGCCCCGCCTTTGTCATGATGTGCTCTGCATATAAGTTAAATAGGCAGAGCAACAGTATACAGGCCTTGCTGAACCCCTTTCTCAATTTTGAACCGATCAGTGTATCCTTGTCCAGTTCTCACTGTTGCTTCTTGATCCGCATATAGATTTCTCAAGAGACAAATAAAATGGTCTGCTACTCCCATCTCAGGGATGAAATGCTACCGGTTCGGACCAGTTTGCCCGAACTAGTAGTAATAAAAGTTACCGGTTCAGCTACACCGATAGTAAAAAATGCTACCGGTTTGGATGAACCAGTATTTCTGATGATCAGCTGTGGCATATGATTTATATTCACTAGAAAGCAGGAAATCCTGCTTTCTAGCGAATCTAAAGTGCGCGGCACAGCTGTTCCCCCCCTCACTGTTCTACTTACCTTAGAAAAAGCTTCTTAAGCCTCCTTTTTCAGCGCTGCACAGTAGCGCCTGCGGTGTGCATGTGCATGAAGCGTGCATTTGGCGTGCACCACACATGCGCACATGCAGCAAACCGGTAGCAGACTTTGGAGCATTTCACCACTGTCCCATCTCTTTAAGAACTTGCCACAATTTGTTATGATCCAGACAATCAAAAGCTTTAGCATAGTCAGTGAAACAGAAATAGATGTTTTTCTGGAACTCCCTAGCTTTCTCCATGATCCAGCGTATGTTGGCAATTTGATCTCTAGTTCCTTTGCCTCTTCGAAATCCTGGTAGTTCTCGGTCCACATACTGCTGGAGCCTAGCTTGTAGGATTTTGAGCATAACTTTGCTAGCATGTGAAATGAGTGCAATGGTGCAACAGTTTGAACATTCTTTAGCATTGCCCTTCTCTGGAATTGGAATGTAAACTGACCTTTTCCAATCCTATGGCCACTGTTGAATTTTCCAAATTTGCTGGCAAATTGAGCGTAGCACTTTTACTGCATCATCTTTTAAGATTTTGAATAGCTTAGCTGGAATACTGTCCCTCCACTAGCTTTGTTGTTGCTCAGACTTCCTAAGGCCCATTTGACTTCACATTCCAGGATATGTGTCTATATAGACGTAGGCTGTGTACAGACAGCAGTTGTACCAGCAGTTGAGACAGCAGTTGAGATTCACTCAACTCACACCTGTTCCTGATTGTGTCTTGGTCGCAGTCACTTAATGCCACTCAGGCTTTCCTCTCTGTGGCTGGAGGAGTCCACCTCCCAATTCTTTATACACTTGTGAGGGAGAAGTTATTTTCTGCATCTATGCCTTCTGGGTTCTTCCCACCATATAAATAGAACTAATTACAAGGATTCCCAGCTATTGAGGATTTCTCAGTAATTAACAGTTTACAAAAACTGCCAGTAGGTACTCAGAAATGATTTAGTCAATCATCAGCTAGCATCTGCAACTATTTAGTAAAAAAAACTGCCATAGAGGAGACATATTTTATTGTTTGTGCATTTAGTGATTTAGCAGAAGCCAGTTTATGAGACTGAAAGAAATAAAAGGCTGGCTCAGGGATCTGACTTTCCTTGACCATTCTAGTTAGATCCCATAGATAGATATCCATGGTAGGTGAATAATCTCATGGACTGTTTATATGGAGATTCTCAGTCATCCAGGTCATAATTGTCCCAAAGGTGCTTTTTCAGGAGGCAACTGGACTTTCTTGTTTTTCTTCTTCTTATCCAAGAAGCTTCTTCAGCTCTGTTTTTCTTTGAAGAAAGAGAAAGAGCTGAAGAAGCTTCTTGGATGAGAAGGGAAACGTCTTCAAAGAAAAACAAGGAAGTCCAGTTGCCTCTTGAAAAAGCACCTTTGGGACAATCTCATGGACTGATCCATGATTGCTCTCATTTTGCATTATGCCTACGAGCCTCCCTCTGTGGGTGAGAACATGGCTAGTCCTGTGATTTTCTTGCCGATGGGCAGTTGGAGCAAGCCACGTAGGCCTCAACACTCATTTTCATCATCTTCAGCCTGCCCTGGTACTCGTGGTAGAAGCAGGACTGTCAGTATTAAGAGGCAGAAGGGAAGTTGTGGTTCCAAAAATCTGCAGGCTGAGATAAACTGATCATATGTTGATAAAACTGACATATGAAATGTTCAGTTAATTCCATTTGATTAACATGGTATAAAAGTCCTGCTTTAAGCAGAGGGTTGGGCTAGAAGATTTCTGAACTCCCTTCTGGCTCTATGATTCTAAGATTATCTTGAGTTACCCACCCCTACATGACTCAGTAGCTTCTGGGGCTCTTTAGGCCTCTTCATCTATCCTTTTCACTTCTGTCTGGATCCTATCGTCCAGTGGGGGGGAGGGGGGAGGGAGGGAGAAAGAGAGATCAAGTGAGACATAAAAAAGGATAATCATTCATCATACACTAAATAGGAGGTGCTAAAACAGGAAAGATTTGCAAACATGAGAGTTGTAATGAAACTGAAAATATCTTTCACACTTCCTGTGCCAGCTAATTGAAATATACCTAATACTATATGCCACCGGTGGCTATCTTGCTTCATTTCCTCCTACATGCCTAGCTAGTGATGCTCTACTGTCTGACTCTGACACTCATGGTGGGTTTTCAACGGTTGGTTCTAATAGTTCTGTACCAAATGTACGTATATGGTAGATAGCTCATACTGTATTGTAAAACTGGGCACTGTTCCCTAATACCATTTTTTTTCACACAAGAGGTTTCAGTCTTCATTATATTTATATAATTACAAAACACTATTAGATAAACCCAGATGATCATACCATTAGAAATGCAAATTCTTCCCTCTTACCATCTATCCATGAGCAGGCATTTTAGTGATGGTAAAATATGGAATTGCATTGCTGAAGCTGACATTAAAAAGGAATAATGGGACATGCCACAGAAACTGGAGAGAGAGAGGGAGAGAAGGAGGGAGGGAGGGTTAGATTGATAGATACCTGTTTTCCCCAAAATAAGACATCCCCTGATAATAAGCCCAATCGGGCTTTTGAGTGCATGGCAATAAGGCCAAGCGCTTATTTCAGGGTTCAAAAAAATATAAGAGAGGGTCTTACTTTCAGGGAAACACGGTAGGTAGGTAGGTAGGTAGGTAGATAGATAGATAGATAGATAGATAGATAGATAGATAGATAGATAGATAGATAGATAGATACTGGTAGATACTGGTAGATACCGTAGATAGCAGTGGTGGGTTGCTCCCGGTTCGCACCAGTTCTCAAGAGCTGGTAGTGGTGACGATATGACGTCACCGAACCGGTTCTCTGTCTTCGGGAGCTGGGCCCTCCCACCGCCCCAGCGTTATGCCGACCTTATATTTCTTCTTTTTTCGCCCAGCTGAGAGGTGCGGCAGAGCGGATTGCCGCACCTCAGCTGGGCAGATTCGCGACGCGCTTGCGCAAAGCGCAAGTTTGGTGCGAGCAAAGTGAGCTTGCGCACGTCGATCGTGTGCAAAGCGCACGACCAAAGAGGCAATCGCGCACGAAGAACCGGTAGTAGAGAACCGGTAGTAAAGCTGGTTAGAACCCACCCCTGGTAGATAGATACCGTAGATAGGTAGATAGATAAATAATTTTCCAGAATAATTACTGAAAATCATATTCCTGTAATTTGTCAGTGCAATCTCAGGGAGGGGGCATTCTGAGCTAAGGATAGTGCATGCTACATAAACTGTGTGCTTCCCACTTCCGGTTTACCACGTTTGTAGAATATGCAGAGTTTTGCACTGCAGTGTTTTTATATGTGACAATAGTGGTCTGAAAAGGGGTCCTTAAGACCAGCAGGAGGATTCATGCAGCATTCTCAGCACATGATTGGCCATTTCACACTGGTGGAGCCTTTAGTATCTGCCTATGTGGAAATTCACTTACCTTCACTACCAGTTCGCAAATGTGAGCGTGCACGCCTTCTCCATACATGCGCAGATCCTTCTGAGCATGCACAGAGGTGCATGCACAAAAACGGGACATGATGATGTCCAAATGGGTGGGCAGAGTCTCCCGCCGCCAGCGCTACCAGTTTACCTGAGCCGGATAGAACCGGCTGAATTTTATCACTGGTACACATGACATAGCTATGAGTACACACTTTTGGGGATGTGCTTCCTCTTTCTCTTTAAAATTTGACATTTATATTTTACCTCTTTAAGCTGAGCCGTGTTGGGATGCCTTCTATATAGGAACAATGCTGCTTGTCCATTGAAAAAGGAACACAGTGGTGGGTAAGGTGATAGAAGAAGTTAGAGGAGAGGAATCTGTCTGTATGCCAATTGTCCTACCTACCTTGCTACTGAAAGCCATTAAAAGACAATGACCAGCTGTTGGGAGCAGAAGAGAGGGAGAAAAGAGAGGGTCTATCAGAGTGCAGGGAATAGAGCATATAAGAACCTGAGATGGGAGTTGGGGGAGGAAAGAGGATGAGATGGTGAATACTGGCAACCAGTATCCTCTGGACATATCCCAAAAGGCTCTTTTTCTCTTTCAGAAGGAAAATGGCAGAAAGCTCCTTATTTGCACAGCGGCTGCATGCTATTACGGTAAGTGTGTTTTCCCATTCTCTCCTGTGGCATGTATGTAAAAGAAGCACTCCACATTATCAACCAACATTCTGCTGCAGGAATCCCCTCTCACCCACCATCCCAAAATGGGAGCTCGGAAGAAGCGTGGATTGGCAGTCCCACTTGGTCAGTTCACTATTTTCAAAGCCTGGAGCCTGTAGACATGGTGACTTGATTCATTTGTGTGTGGTTCTTGTGGGTTCAGCTTGGCCATAGAGAGATGGGGCATGAGTCTCAAGCTCATGCAATTTGTATTATGCTCCTGCAGCTCAGAATTCCATATTATGTGGTTTTAGTTTGGAATAGACGTAAGTTAAAGGCTGGTTTATGATATGTATCAACCCTCTGAGAGGCTCACTAAGGTCATCATGCCATTCACCCTGTGAGTGTTGCCAGATACGTAATCTCCCACTGAATAACAAAGTAAAGATAAGAATCCTGCAGGAGCAGAGGGAGCAAATGTTGATGGCATGTGATTCTAGCAGGGTCTGCTGATTGGATGGCAGTTTTGGAGCCTTTTTCCACTTGCACTTAACCACTTCACTGTTTTTTTCCTGCCATGTCCTTTCTCATCCCCTGCCCATTTCTGGAGTAGCTGAAAGTTGTCTTTAGCTATTATAGTATTAGTGTTTTCACTCCTTAAACAAGCAGCAAGTTGCAGTAGTTGTATCAGGGTTATTTAATGTGATTCACCAACCATGTGGTCATTGTCAGTCAGATGACCTCTAACTCCCTTGATCAATGGAACCTAGTATGGGGTGGTCCCTGCTTCTCCATATCTTCAAGGTCCCTTATGGGTTGGACAACAGAATACAGGTAGTCCTTTGACTTAACAACAGTTCATTTAGTGACCATTCAAAGTTACAAAGGCACTGAAAAAAGTATCTTATGACCATTTTTCACACTTATGACTGTTGCAGCATCACCATGGTCATGTGATCAAAATTCAGATGCTTGGCAACTCGCTCACATTTATGACAGTTGCAGTGTCCCAGGGTCATGTGATCGCCTTTAGTGCCATTCTGACAAGCAAAGCCAATGGGGGAAGCCAGGTTCACTTAATAACCATGTTACTCACCTAAAAACTGCTGGGATTCATTTAACCAATGTGGCAACTAAAGTAGTAAAATGGGGCAAAACTCACTTAACAAATGTCTCTCTTAGGAACAGAAATTTTAGGCTCAATGATGCTCGTAAGCAAGGACTATCTGTAGTTTGGTTCTTTCATACCAGGTTCTTCAAGTCAATCTGCAACCTGGAAATCTGGATTAGCCTGAGCAGCAACTGAGTATGGGGTAGACACAGTGGTGGGATTCAGCCAGTTCGCACCACTTCAGGAGAACTGGTTGTTAACTTTCTGAGCAGTTTGGCAAACTGGTTGTTGGAAGAAATCATTAGGGCAGAGAACCGGTTATTAAATTACTTGAATCTCACCACTGGGTAGACTGCCTATTAGGGAAGGAGAGGAACAACTGTCTTTGTGGTGCATCATTGCACAAGTCTCCCCATTCCTGTTGGTTGTTGTTTGGGCTACTTATGGAATCATATTAATCCTATGTTCAAAAGGAGCCAACTGTCAGATGATATAATTTATTTAGTCTTTTGCTAGAATAGCCTGTCTCCTTTTAGTGCTATCCTAAAACAGAGTTATTCTAGAAGAATGCCAAATCCACATCCAGGTAATAGTTGGCCTCCCTTTGGATGCATTTATATATGTACAAAGCCAGAAGATATTTTGACAAGTGGATAAACTTTCTGTTAAAACTCACACCTTTCTCACTCCATTCCACATTAAGGTGAGCAATTGGTGGATTTTTTTCCCATTGGCTGTGATGTTCAGTGGCAGGGGAAGGAAGCTGAAAGAAATTCACCAATTCTTGTATTCAATATACCATGGAAAAGTAACAAAAAATATCTGCATGAACTAGTATTTACAGTACTGCTTTTACTCAACCAGACTTCTTCTAGATTTTTGGTACTGCAGATGTTCCCTCTTCCTCCTCCCAAAGTTTGCTGTATTCTTTAGTAATAGATAACTCCTATGTTCCTCAATATCACTGTTATGAGACACAGGGCCAGTTTTTATTCCTTTTTGCTTTCTGGCCAAGCATGCAAAGCAATGCACCAGATCAGTGGTGGGTTGCTACCAGTTCGCCCCGGATCGGGTGAACCGGTAGCAGCAGTGGCGGGAGGCATGTGCAGAAGTGAGCGTGAGCGTGCCTATGAGCGAACCGGTAGCAACGGGATTTGCAACCCACTACTGCACCAGACATGGTGGCAATGATCTAAGAATGACTACATGCAAAACAAAAACAAAATCCAACACATGCTCCCTAATTTTTCCCTAGTTCACTAAAATGTGGGAAAGTATAAAAGGGAGGAGCAGTATTACAATAATATTGCTATCAATGCTTCTTTTTTTATTCATGTGACATGGTGATTTCCTGAGTACAAAACAGCATTTGCAAAGGGGAACCTACAGTTTCGAATTTAACACAGATAAAACAACAAAGAAGGATCTTTTTGGACAACAGAACACAGAATGAAGGTGGTTCATTATAAGCAAGGGGAAGGAAACTGGGATTTTTTCCCCATCAAAATGGCCTAGTGGAGAACTCTTTGAGGCTAAGAACCATTTTTAATTGGTTTTTTGAGGGGTGGGCAGTGCAATGAAGCAAAATGGACATGAATAGATCACACACCCAGCCGTGTTTTGTAAAATGTATTGTGGTTTAATATATTTTGTGAATTCATCAAATTCCGGATTGATCAGAAAACTATGATTAAGCAAACTATAGTACCATTTGCAGGCCTAATTTCTGTCTTAGATTAAAAGGACAACAATAGTAGTGCAGCTGGATTAATTTAAAGGTTACTGAAATTGTGCATTAACTACAATTCTCAGTTCTCACTGTGCCAGTGGCTGCTTACAAAGCTGAAGAAATTGGAGCAACCATATAATTCCTTCCATTCACTAAAAAGTTGCCTTACTGGGGATGAAATTTCTGAGATTCTCCTTCCATGGGGAGAGGCAGAAGGGATATCCCTCTTGAGAATAACGGCTACTCTCCAGATTTCATTAAATCTTATTTTTGCTGGGAAAGGTTGCCAGACTCTTACTGATTTGTCCAAGGAATGGCTAAAATAAATGTCAGGAATGTCCCAAGTAGAAGGGACCTAGGTGCCAGCTGTTCTCCACTTACAGTCTTTGACTTTATGCCCAGTGGCTTGGGGTTTGTGCTAAATATGGGCTGTTTGCCCTGCTCCATGGGAAACCTGGGGTAACCTGAGTCTCTTTCTTTGGCTTATCCTCTCTTCAAACACATGAATAATTCACCAGACAATAGCTTCAACCTGAACCAAACAGAAGGAGAGAGAACTTTGGAGCCTTGCCCAGACTTTGGAGAGGCAGAGATTGGGTTGAGGTTGTTTCCTGAGCTGCAGCCCAGCTACCCTTGTGTGGAGTCTCACACACACACATCCTGGTAATGAGCTTGACATGAATGCTGCAGCAAATATTTATTGTCATATGAATTGTTTTGGTTAATGCTTCTATGCAGGGATCAAATCTGGACAGATTTTCCAGATCTGGACAGAGCAGAGTGCAGTGGGGGGAAAGAAGCTGTGAAACAGCCTTTGCACTATGAAGACACAGGAGCCTAGAGTATGCAATCAGTAACAGACACATCAATGGCCATATGTCTGCAGCAAGGTGTCTGGTACCCACACAGACTTCGTAAGCAGCAAGTACTCTTTTGCACACAGAAAGCAGACACACCAGAAGGTGCACGCCCAAATAGAAATCATTTCCTGGTACTCATTGGCACCTATTAAACTAAAGTCAACACCAGTTTTTATTTTCATTTATCCAACACCAATACAGATATGAATCCCATTTCACCTGTTAGCAAGTACAACCCAAAATAAGGGCAGCCCAAGACAAACTAAACCACACTACCTCCTTCCTGCATATGTGATGAGGGATCATAGACAAGTCTCCTCCTGATTAAGTTCTTATTAAAAGAGTCTTTTCTCAGTGACCTGGTGCAATTTCGAGAAGCACTGTTGGCTTGTTTATTAGGGATCAGATCTGTCTGTTTTCTGCTCTCCAAATCCAGTGTGGCAGGCAGGTGTTTCATTTTCCTTCTTATGCAGTAGGAATTGCTGTATATCAGTGGTGGGTTTCAAAGTTTTTTTATTACCGGTTCTGTGGGTGTGGCTTGGTGGGCGTGGCATGACTTGGTGGGCATGGCAGGGGAAGGATACTATAAAATCTCCATTCCCACCCCACTCCAGGGAAAGGTTATTGCAAAATCCCCATTTCCTCCCGATCAGCTGGGACTTGGGAGGCAGAGAATAGATGGGGGCGGGGCCAGTCAGAATTTTTACTACCGGTTCTCCGAACTACTCAAAATTTCCGCTACCGGTTCTCCAGAACTGATGAGAACCTGCTGAAACCCACCTCTGCTGTATACCCATAGTTCCACATTAAATCTATGACATTAGGTAACTGATCTCAGTTGGCAAAAGGGGGAGGATCCTTCATTTCCTAGAAAGTCATTGCCAGTGAAAAGAAAGAGCACCATCCTCAATAGTTAGATGTTCCAGACAGACACATGAACATCACCCATCATACAATACCCTTCGATCGTAACTTGCAGGGAAATACCATCTCCACTTGACTGAGTCACTCTTAACCATCCCACCTCCGACTCTTTGCTTCCTGCTATAGAATCATTTTTCCAATAATTAAAACAAAACTCCAGGAATGGTGCCTGACTGCTTTTGCTTTCTTGTTCATATGAATGGAGTGAATCACTGGGCAGTCTGATCTGTTTGAATAAAACGAAGCTTTAACAGATTTCAAAAATATAGATCTAAATGGTTCAGTTCAAATTGCAAAAGGTTCCAAAATATTATTAGCTTGTTGGCATTGTTTGGAAAAATCATATATACATATTCAGACGTATAGGAGGAATATTTAGAAGCTACAAGTACAGTAGTTCGTAGTAAAGTTTCTTATTGTTAATGGAGTGCCTGACTCTTATTCAAAGTCTTCCTCTATCATCTGAACACATACCATTTTATGTTAACAGAAACCAACATTTGAATTGTTCCTTGAGCCTTGCTCATGAAGTCTGGTTTCTATTATCTCTAAATAGTGGCTGCTCCAGGGTCTGAAAACATGGTAATCTATGTTTTTGGTTAAAGCCATGTATGGAATGTGTGTGTGTATGTATATATGTAATATGGATATGAAAGATGCTCACTTTTAATTTGACTGTCTGGCCTTGTGTGATGCAAATATTGCCTTAATTGGGACAGCAGGAGAGGGATTTCTGAGTAGCTGCACCCCTAGCCCTGAAATAGCCTTCCCAAGGATTCCCTCACTCCTAACTAGGTTAAAAAAATATTTGGAAAGGCTGATCATCCAGTAGCTGTATGAAGATACAGTACTTAACGTGCAACATTACTTTGTCATTTTAAATTTTAATCCTGAAAATTTTAAATATTTTGATTTCTGTTACATTGTTTTCTGCCGATAGTTTAAAACTTGATATCGTTATACTATTAATATTGTAAATCAGAATATGTACATTTGGTGTACAAATCACTCATTAAGTGCATAGGAAAAAAAAATAGAAGAAGACACCCAAAAGATGCTTCATAAGAAATCTATGCTAATACATTTGTTGGCATCAAAGCTGCTTTCTTAGCTTTCTATCCAAAGAGGAGCGCTCTCTGTTCCCAAGGCGTTTGTGGTTTCTGAGAAAACGAAATCAAAGTTGGTAGGGCGAGGGGGGTGCGGCACTCTCTCCCGCTCCCCTTAATGCTTTCACCGGACAAGCGTGTCAGAGTTATTCAGGGTGCGTGAATTAGGCGGCTGGGCAGTTTGGGAAGCCTGTGGAGAGCGGGAGTCCCCAAACCAGCCGGGGGAACGCAGAAGGAGTCGATCAAGCGCTGCAGGCGGGACTATAGTCAAGTGCAGGGGGAGCAGAGGCGCCGGGGAGATAAACGGGAAAAGTCTCGTTTTAAGCGAGGCTGATTCTGCTGGGATTAATCCACGGCGGCGTGATCGGTCAGGCAAACCAGAAGCCAGGTCTGCCGGTCGCCCACGTGGGCTCGGTCCCGCCCTGCCTCCCTCCGCGGCGGGCCCTTTGTCCGCCCTTTTGCAGGGCGGCTCCTGCCTCGCCTCGCCTTGCCTCTCTCCGCCTCCCCTCCGCCCACCCACCCCCGTCTTTTTGCTTTGCTGCAGGAGCGGCGGAGGCTGCAAGAGCGCATCCTAGCCACCCGGCGGGAACTGGAGGAAGAGAGACTGCGAGTCCAACGCCTCAAGGTACCACCCACGAAAAGGATACAGGAATGGATGGACCACCGAGAGGTGGAGATGGCTGTGCGGGGATCTGAAGCCAAAAGATGGGCGGGGAGGGCGGCATTGAAGTGGGGGGGGGGAAAGATACTTGTAACCTACAGCCGATCCTACCCCCACCAACTGAGGGGAAGGAAGAGGCTGTGATGCACCCTGCTGTGGGTAATACCGACTCTTTGGGGCTAGGTACATGTAGGCAATTCCAGAAGGCTGGTTGGGTTTGCACCGTATTCATTTTTGCTCGGCAGTCTTCTGATGCTTTGCCTTGAGCCAGTTTATTTGTTAGTTTTATATCCTATCTCTCCTTCTGGAGCTAGCTCCAGTTTCTCCCCAGAACAAGCTTATATGTGTGTGTGGTTAGTGGGGAGAGAGAGAGAAAGAATGTATGCATTATGGAGCTGAGTATCTGCACTGGTGGGTGTGTCCAACATCTGCTGTTGAGCGGTAGAGCTTCACATGAAATGTCATTTGTATAGGACCATATATGTGGGTGTGGCTGAACAAGCATAGGAGTAGATACATGTACGTGTACATATGCATGGGCTTCAGTCTGGAACTCATTTGTCTTGATGCATCCTGATGGCCCACGTGCAGGTCCAGTATGAAGCAGACCCTAAATGCAATCTCTGTCTCTGTTCTAAGAGGAAATCCCTGCGTGAACGGTGGTTGATGGAGGGAACATCCATGCCTGCTGATGACAAGGATCACATGTCTTCTCTTTGGGAGGCAGAGTCTCGCGTCCAAGACTTAGAACAAGATCTGTCCAGGTGGGTGTGTCCTAAGTGATGGTGGGTGTAGAGCTTTGGGAATACAGTAACTGGAAAGGATTGCACTTCTCATAATTTCAATCAGCCAAAGAAGCCGTCATTTCATAAAGCAGAATGATTGTTTCAAGAGAAATGTAAGGGACACGTCATTCAAAGATAATTGTTTGCTGCTTTAAGGGAATTTCCTCCATCTGCAACACTTTTGGGATGTAGCAGCTGAGGAGAAGCCAGCCTCAGTTGCTGCTTAGATCACCCCGTCTGTGGCTTTTCTTCCACAGCTGCCTCAGGGTCTCCTGCCCACTCAACAAACAGCTCCCTTTAGTTTTACAGTACCCTTGATGCTTGCTATCCAGAACACTCCAGCTACCCACCACCCTTCCTGTTTCCTGAATTTCCTCCCCAGTTTGTGAAGAATTTCACACAATCCCCAGTGTCAGAGTCGTAGAGTAGCCAAATGCACGTCTCCCTTTGGGAGCGCAGGAGAAGCGTCTCTGCGTTTGCTGTTTTCCTTAACTCATACCTTTGGTACCTGCCAGCCTGATAAAGAGCTGTAAAGAAGTCAAAAGCTTGCACATTTTTCTCTGTAATAAATGCTCTGCCCTGTTTTGAATTTGGGATGCTTTTCTTCATGAAGCATAAATGACTAAATGGAGCTTATCATCTTCTCCTGACTTCATTAATTGCATGAACTTGTTTGCATTTCATTCCCCTCCTCCTTTTGTTTCTCTGCATCACATTTTCAAGTGTAAGCCACCCTGGGCAGAGATTTTTCTTCTGGTGTTGGTTTATAAATAAAGACTCACATTTACAGCCATTTGTGATAGAGCTGCAAATTGAGACTGATGATGACATAGAGGTCCTCTGGGGATATCAGGGAGTACTGCTTAGTTGGACTTGGTGTCTTCCTCCTGCCTCTTTCCGGAAAAGGCTAAAAACAAAACTGAACTAAAAGTGTGTTTGAAGTGGGAGGTACCAACACACAAGAAACTTAAAACCACTATCTGGCCTGCGGGAACTGGAGAGAAGGAGGATGGAAATGCTGAAATGAGTGATGATTCAGCAGCCCTCCTGAGACAATGCAAAGATAACCATCAAGCATCCATGACTGACCTGAAAAAGCTAAGCAGCATTGATTCTTGTTAATATTTGGATGGGAGGCCACCAGGTAATGCCAAGGGTGGACTAGACTAGATTAGACTAGACTAGATTAGGAAGTCGGAAAACCATTGTGGAAGAAATCCACTTCTGGGCCATTGCCAAGAAAACTGCATGGCTGAATCACAAAGATGCTGGAATCATATAAATCCTACCTTTTGAGAGGTGGGTGGGAAGCCATAAGGGAACATACATAAATCCCATTGTAAAAGTAGCACAGTTATCTCATATGCACACACCTTAAACAGCTACATGATAATTGCCCAAGAGAGTAAGTAGTGTTCAACTCAGTAAAAAGGACAGCTGGGTGAATTGTTTCTCAAAGGGAATAGGATTTGAAATCTATTTAACCAATGAGACACATTTACTTTAACATTTTTGCCCCTCTATGTAGCCAAGGAGCTTTCCAGTGGAGATTACAAATAGAATAAGAGTATAAAATAAGGCAAAAATACCAAATCAATAAATAATAATTAACTGAGTAGTCATCTATACTGAAGTAATAAATTACATCCACTTGGTAGCTGTCTCAGCAGCTTTTGCAGATGTTTATGTCAAAAGCCAACTTGTTTAGTACTACAATCTTTAAAATTCTATATGGTGTGAATGTCTGGCCTTCTAGTTCTGGGAATTCCGAGTTCAGTAACATCTAAAGGGCCACAGGTTCTTTTATTCTACAGGTAGAATCTCCTCTCTAAAAATTCATATGGGTGAGGTTTGCAGATCAAATATTTCTTTAACTTTGTGTAGAAAGGCAAATTGTAAGAAATGGATCCTTCTGGCTTCCTCACAATGTCAAGTTTACTTTGACTGTTTTTCAAAAACCATCTTAAATACCTGTTCTAATTTGGCTCAAAGGTATTTTAGGAACACATCAGAAACAGACATTGAGTTGAACATTTATAGTAATCTGCTTTAGAAGATCTCAAAGCATGTATGGTGCCCAAGTCCATCAATTTCCTGCTAAAAGAGTCTTCTCTTTGCTAACAGGAATGGAGAAATGCATGCCCTTTAGATGCTGCTGAATTCACTTCCCAATGGTCTTGCAGCCTGGGAATGCTTGGTATGTAGCAGTATCCACAACAGTTTTCTCAACCTTGGCAAATTTGAGGTGTGTTCAGCTGCCAGAATTCCCCAGGTAGTATATGTATATGCTAGCTGGAAAATTCTGGGAATTGAAGTTCACACGTCTTAAAGTTGCCAAGGCTGAGAAACTCCAATCTAGAGGATCCCAGGTTCTCCATCTTTGATGTAGAACTTGGCTCTCAGTATGGTCTGTGTTTTCTCTAATATCTCATTCTTTCTCTCTCTGAAGTCTTCAGTCTCAAATGCAGGACCTAGATAATATGGATCTTCCCCAAGGACAACAGCAGCAGTCTTTGAAGGAGGTGAAGCAATTGGATGGCATTGTGAAGGTACTTATTAATTTGTATGCTGCCAAATCTTGTAGCTTCACAGCAGGGTATAACAAAAGAGAAACAGAGTAAAACATCCATGGTGAAAGATGCAATACATTTTAATAAATCAAACAAAAAGACAAGTCAGATTAAATAGCTAATAAAACCTCATTCCAGATGGCATATAGCAGAGGTCTTCAAACTTGGCAGTTTTAAGACTTGTGAACTTCAACTCCCAGAATTCTCCAGCCAGCTGGCTGGAGAATTCTGGGAGTTGAAGTCCTCAAGTCTTAAAGCTGCCAAGTTTGAAGACCTCTGGCATATAGTATTCCCTAAAGATGCTCTGGAAGTGTATCACTATCTTCAGAAGGCCATTCTCTCTCCCTCCCCCCCCCCCCCCCTCCTTCCCTCTCTCCCTTCCCCCCCCCCCCCCCCCCCTCTCTCTTTGGTATAAACCTATTGGCATCATTTATTAGTTTATAACATAAAATTTAAAAATACAAAATCAAATAACAGGAAAAATAAGGGAGGGAAAAGGAAAGAGAAAAGTGTAGAGAAGAAGTGAAAGAAAGAAAAGGCATTGACTTCCAACTCCTTTTGTGCAATAGAATAAGAAGTAACATCGAACCTCAGCTTTTTACTTTTAAATAGTAATATACACTAGTCATTTCTATAACAACAGATCTATCTAATCAGTAAAACCCAAAATTAAAGTTTCTTTTTTTTTTGCACCTCAAGCACAAAGTCCAGAAGCAGTTTCCAAGTAGAAACAAAAGTACTTGTGGTTTTTTTTCCCCTTTAATCAAAGCAGTCAATTTAGCCATCTCTGCTAACTCCTTTTGCAACCATTTATCCATTGTAGGGATTAAAGCGTCCTTCCATTTTTGTCCATAAAGTAATCCTGCTACCATCAACATATATAACATCAAAGTTCCACATATTTTTCCAAGTCTTTTTCTATTAAACCAAAGGGAAAAATTTCTGGTTTTATCTTTATATTCACTTTGAGAAACTTCTGTATTAGAACATAAATCCTACTCTAATATTTCTTCGCTTTATCACACGTCAACCATAAATGATAAAATGTCCCTTTACATTTGCATTTCCAACATTCGTTTGAAATACCTTTATACAATACATTCTTGATAACTTGTCTGATGTTAAATACCACTGATACATCATCTTATAAAAATTTTCTTTTAAATTGTAATTTAATGTAAATTTTAACCCTTTTGTCCACATATTCTTCCATTGTTCAAGCTTTACGTTGTATCCAAAGTTCCTTGGCCACTGAATCATACAATGCTTTACAAATTCACTTTACCAATTCAAATTCAATAACATTTTGTAGACCTTAGCAATAATATGTTCATCACTACCACACAGTAGGATTTCCAATTCATTGTTAACAGAATCAAACCCATAATTCTTTTTGTATAATTTAAATCTTTCTTTCCATTGTAAACCAGTGGCAGACATGTCCTTCTGATTCTAGCTCTTTCTTAGATTTGATCACCAAAATTAAAAGTTGTTATTTTACCATAAATCTACCAGTCCGGCTTTGCCACCATTTCTTTTCTAAAAAAGCTTTCTGGGGAGACACCCAAAGAGATATCTTAATAGAAAACCTTATTTTATATTTGTTCCAAACTCTTAGAATGGCACATCTAGCAAAGTGATTGTTAAAATCAACATTTACTTTAACCTTGTCATACCATACATAACCGTGCCACCCAAATTTTAATTCACGACCTTCTAAATCAAGTAGCCTCTTATTCTGGAGGTTCATCTATTCTTTTAGCCAGACCAAATAACAAGCATTGAAATACAGTTTCAAATCTGGTAAACCCAACCCCCTTATTTCTTTAACATCTTGCAGTAGTTTATATCTAATTCTTTTTTTTCCCCTTGTCATATGCCAAACTTCAAAATATCCATCTCCCATTCTTTAAAGGGAGTATCAGTTATAAGTATTAGCAAGGCCATTCTCAAGGAGCTAGTTTAGCTTCTAACGGAAGTCTGTTCCAGAGAATAGGCATCAATTATTATCAGTTATAAGATCAATAAACAGTGTTTTCTGGCTTTAGTCCCCATCGCCTCATGAAACTGAAGTTCTCTGAAGAGACTGGCCAGTTCTTCTTGGAGTGGGAGATTCTGAAAATACCTAGAACCTATAAGTCAAAAGTAGCATGTTGAATTGCCTCTGGAAAGCTTTGCTAATTAGTGCAAGGCCTAGAAGATAGTTGCAACATGACAACAGCAGCTAGTACTAGTGGAACATTGTAAATATCTAATCATACAGTTATGGCTCGTGTCACTATAGATATAAGCAGATTAAGAGCCTCTCTTTGCAGCCTCAAGATTTACAAGCATGTGATGGTGACCTTCCAGAAACTATTGTCCAGTAGGAAGTTTTAATTCACATTAGAAGTCATTGTAGCAAAAAAATAAAGCTGCCTTTGAGATAAAAATGTATCCAATTCCTGGTGACTAATATGGATACATCTGTGCAGTTGTCTTAATAGAGATGTCAAAGTCATTTGCCATATCTTTCTTCCATGTGCTGTTTTTTATGAAGGTTCTCAGTCTACCCTACAGTCTTGCATTTTCCTGATTTTCTCCTTCCAAGTACTAAGAAGGGTTTACCATGTTTTGCTTTCTATATTATTAGATACATTGATCTCATTTCACTATTATTTTTCTCCCTTTTAAAAATCTTATTTGAAGCTTTTGATTGCACTGTTCAGCTCAAGAGGCCTCTCTTTTCATTCTTCTGCCATTCCAAAAAATGGTATCAGAAGCAAGGCATTCACCAGGAAAAAAAACCAGACAGACAGACAGGCCAAGCTTTGAAATTGGATTATGCTTTTTGTCTTTGGGAAAAGCAATCCATGCTGATGGTGAGGTTTTTCTAATGGAAATAGGCTTCAGCAGGAACATTTGAACAAAATGTTCTATCACATTTTTCATGAATAATAAGCCAAGATTATGCAGAATTCCAATTTAAAGTTTTGTACAAATGAAGCTACATCATGTTACAGCTAGATTATGCTAAAACAAAATTAAACAATCTGTATTTGCACAATCATTTCCAGATTAGGAGCAACATCTGAATTTTAAGTACTGTGCCAGGACCTATATTTTAAAAAGCAAAAACTATTTTTGATTTCATTTAAGCTTTAAATATAATTAATATAATTTCACCCTCTGTTATGTTTAAAAAAATCATACAATAAACAGTTTTAGTAGTGTCTGGGGTGTGATTTGCAGGTTTTGGGGAGCAAATTTGGTACGTGAGGCTTTAGGTTGGGCACTTTAGAGTAGCATGAGGGATGAACCTGATGTACAACCTGTTAAGTCAAGTAATGAGCCCATTGTTTTAAAGAGTTACAAAACTGCTGTGGATGTTGCACAAATGGTATCCAGATAATGACAAAAATTCTGGCCGAAGGCTCTGATACAATCTGGCAAATGTCCGTCATTTGTACCCCTCCCCACACAAGTTTAACCTTGAAAAGGAAAATGATTGTATTCCTATTCATCATGATGACAATGTTCCTCTGAGAATGATTAATAAATATAGATAAAGTGCATTTAGCTTATTTATACAAAATCCCCTTGATTATCGCCTTATCAAAAAAATTCTTTTGTTTTCAGATTGATGGGACATCTTCCTCTTCTCCAGAAAGTGAGTAATTTTCTATTTGGTAAAATGCAGATTGCCTGGGGTACTTTGTCACACTTGGCACAATCAGCCTGGAAATTCTTTTATGTACTTGCATTAAAATAAATTAGACTATTTATAGACTAATTAGTGGAAGAGATAACTAGTGGTAATTTCATGGAATTTGGGCTATCTAAGTGGGTCACACTTGATGATTTATATTCTCTTTAGCATTGTCTGGTAGTTGCAGACCTACTCCTCTGCTCATACTTATGGACCAGTATAAAAAGTGCCTTGCCCAAGCAAATGGTAGTGTTATATCTCATCTGACCTCAAAATGTTGTGGTCTCTGACTAAATTTCTAAGTTTTTAATCTCTTTCACCCAGCTAAAATATCAAAATGTCCTAACTAAAGGGCAAACTATTATTTGCAAAGTTATCCATAAGGTTGATTAGCACACAGGGGATGATTTTTTTAAACATTCACCTGCACGCTTATCTATTATCGGCTAAAAGAACAACCCATTTACTAGTACAGAAGAAAGTTTTTAGAAAGAATTTAAGGAAATATTTTCTGTAATGTACCCTGTTTCCCCAAAATAAGACATCCCCTGATAATAAGGCCAATCGGGCTTTTGAGCGCATGGCAATAAGGCCAAGCGCTTATTTCAGGGTTCAAAAAAATATAAGACAGGGTCTTATTTTCGGGAAAACATAGGTAGGTAGGTAGGGAGAGAGAGAGAGAGAGAGAGAGAGAGACTGGTAGATACCGTAGATAGATACCGTAGATAGATAGATAGATAAATAATTTTCCAGAATAATTACTGAAAATCATATTTCTGTAATTTATCAGTGCAATCTCAGGGAGGGGGCATTCTGAGCACCTTAGCAACTTAAAGCATTTTTGGCTAGGGAATTCTGGGAAGTGAAGTCCAGGCATCTTAAAGTTGCGAAGACTGCGAAACGCTGCTTTAGTGGAGGGTAAATTGGTTCTAAATTGGAAATAGTTCAGTTAACTGAAATTCTTATAACTTTCATCTCAGTACATATTGTTAAATCCGAGTTTGAGACCAGTTAGTTTTCCTTGACTTTGAACTGTCAATCTTAGCAAGGGTACCCAAAGGCCTAGATTGCTTTATCACCAGGCTTTACCTTTTGAACTACAAAAAACTTCTTTTGGCTCCAGCATTCTTCCTCTGCAAAGGGACCTGGTTAAGCTAACTGAAAGTAATGCTTTCTTTACAGAGGGAAATACTACTGAGACCAAACTTGAGTTGGCTTCTGTTTCTCCTCAAAAGCCCATGGAGGCAGCAGCCAAAGAAGAACTGGAGAATGGAGATATGTCAGGAGATGGTGGGTATTAGCCTTTGGCAAGGTCTGCCATTAGGTAAGGGATCAAGCCAGATCCTTGGATGGTGATAAAAATGAAAATCCACAGTCCAAAGGACAATTGGCAAAACTGCTGAGCAGGTTTGCATCTGTCACATGATTTCTCACAAACATGGACTTTGAAATAGCGTGGTAGAAAATTTGCCATCACAAAAGTCTTGATTTCTGCTGTAAGCAGATTGCTCCTTTTGGGGGGTCTGCGCTTTTGAAGGCTCAGGAGCTCTTTAGATTTTCTTGCTGAGAAAATCACCTCTGAAACATAGGCTTGTTCGCTGTTATTGATTGCTAAAATGCTAACACTTGGGGAGGATCCAGTGTGTATTACATGCATTTTAGCTTCATGCAAAATTATGGTAAGACCAATTTCATGAAATGCTGGTTTATCCTATACTGTTTGTAAAATCTGCTGCATGGAAAACTTCTAGTTTGTAGGCCTCATGAAGTCACATGGTCCAGACGTGTGTCTAGATAGTCCCTCCCTCATAAGCCTCCCGCTTCTGCCAAAGCCCTGATCTTTCCACCCCAACCCAGCCCCAATTTCTTTCAGAAAGATCTTATCTCTGATTAGCAGCTGATCGGAGATAACGCTCTCCATGTGCACACAAGCACTATTTGTACCACAAACAGCTTTAATAGCCCCTATAGAGATAATGGAGATATTTTAAAATGTCCTTATTAAACAGTAAAAGAGGTTTTTTTTTCTAAAGACAGAAGGAATAAACTGCCTTTCCCAAAGGTGCCTTTGACCCAGTTCCACAGTAACTATCCATAGAGATTGTTCTATAGATTTATTGAATATTCTGTGAGGGTTTTGTATTAGTGTAAATGGTATATATAGGAAATGTCAGGCTGAATATTTATGTATTAGTGTAAATGGTATATATAGGAAATGTCAGACTGAATATTCTAACCACTGTGCATAGTGGCCCAGTGGTTAGAATGCAGTACTGCAGACTACGTCTGCTGACTACCGGCTGCCTGCAATTTAGCAGTTCGAGTCTCACCGGCTTGAGGTTGACTCAGCCTTCCACCCTTCCAAGGTCAGTAAAATGAGGACTGAGATTGTCAGATTGTTAGCAATATGCTCACTCTGTAAACCGCTTAGAGAGGGCTGTAAAGTGTTAAAAAGTGGTATATAAGTCTTATTGCTATTGCTATGTATATTACGTTCTGCTGAAGTTTGCTTGCCCTCTGGAATACTCTTCAAGGGTGACATATGGGCTGTGGCTATTCTGGGCGAAACCTAGCCAAAAGTATTTCTGGTTTTGTGCTATTCTCTCCCTACTGTTTCTGCCCACTCCTCCTTTCTCTCCCCCTTCTCTTCCTACTTGCCCAGGGGACTAAGGAACAGCGTCGTTTTCCCAGAGGATGCTTTTAGAGAGCTTTTAAAATGAAGCTTTAAGCTTTAGCCTGTCTCCCTCTGTGCTGCAAAACATGGGGGGGAGGGGGTGTCATTACAGATGGGCACTGGAGCTTCTACAATATGGAAGCTGTAAGCATTCTTTGGTGGAAGGGACATCTTCTGTGAGAAGGATTATCTGAAACTTTTAAACATGAACACCATCACATGAAAGTGGCGTTGAGAAGATAAAGTTATTGTGCACTTTCTTCAGTGTCATCAGTGCATCTGCACTTAATGGAGCTTCTTGGCTAGCAGACAGATCCCTACCCAGGAGGTTACTTGCAGAGTTGGAGCTGTATATAAGAGAAATAGAGATCAGACAAAAATGGGGAGATAGATCTAAATAAATGCAGCAGACTATACCACGAATTTGGAAACAGGGATTAAGGGGCTAAATTGAAGGTTGCTTCATCTGCTATGTAGTGGGGTGCCTGAAGTAGAAATTCTAAATTGCATTATCCACTCCCATCAATGCACAGTCCCTTAAGGAAGATCTCTGATGCAAGCTGCGCTGAAATAAATAGAAAGGGCACAACTGCCCAGACATAAATCAAGATAGGAAGATAAACCAGATCATGGTGTAAATATCAATCTTTGGGTTATACTCTAGCGTCACTGATGCTGCAAGATCATTTTATATCCTCATGGAAGACTGTCATCCATTACATAACTGTGTGGATTATCATCTTGGTCTTGAAAGAGCCTCATCTTAGTTAAAAGAAAGGGTTCTCAATGTCATTATTAGGAGCGACCCTGGTAAAACTCCACCTTGTACAAAGGAGGGCTATAACAGAGCCTTGGGCTATCTCACTGCTTACTTCCCTCCAAGTAGATGTAATTCCATTAAAGACTATACATTCAGTGTGGTTTGTCAGCCAGTTAAAAATCCATCTGGTGGTGATGTCTATGTCACATTTTTTTAGCTTACCAAGGAACACGTTGTTGTCCACTTTCTCAAAGGCTTATGGAAATCCAAGTATGCTATGTCCATCAGCATTTTGCTGGTTCACTAATTTAGTCACTTTGTCAAAGAATGCAATAAGGTACCATGTCCAAACTAAGGACAAAGAGGATTGGGCATCATCACAGTGTACCAGATGAATGTGAATCTCCTTCTCCATGTCAGACTGAGAGGTATACTTTTGTCAAGAAGCTATCACCCTCATAACATATAAGACCCAGGTTTTGGAGGCAGGTGGAGGTCAAGAAAGCCATAATATAGCAAACCATTATGTGTACTTATTTGCCAAAGTCAGATGTGTTCAGTGAACATAAATTAATTCTAAGAATTCTAAAACTTGTAGTTCTCATGCATATGGAGGACATCAAATTGGGGAAGGTTGGCTTCTATATTATTGGAGATATTTAAAAAGAGAATATAGATCAGGATCAGAATATCTGACATTTCCTTTTGTTCTCCAAAGGTATTTCTGGCAATGAATGCAGCTCTGAAAAAACAGGAGTCAAAGTAAACCCTGTGACTATAGAAGGTGGGGACTTTCAGCCTCATCAAGGGAAAATCGAGGCTGCTCCTACTATGAAGAATTTGGATCCTAGTGAAGCCCCTACTGCTCACCAAAGAAAGCTGGCAGTTGAAAAGATGGTCATCAGAGATCATTTGGGGCAGGAAGTGGGAAGCATGGATGCTGTTGGGCAGACACAGAACTTCATTAGAAAAGAGGATGAGTTGGGAGACCATGATAACATAGGAAATGACTGTGAAGAATGGAGTACTTTGGGTAGTTTTTGCAATGTGGTGGATCAAAAGAAGACTGGTTGTGCTACCAAAAACCAACTGGACTGTGATCTTGGTAGCCGTGATGGCCCAGAGGGAGAGTCTCCAACTTCCCACGATCAACAAAACCCTTCCAACTTTCTGCAGGACAGTGCTAACTGCCTTGATTTCCCCAGGAATCAGGGAGATAGTGAGCAGGAGATAGCCTTGTTGGTCAAGGAGGCAGTTCTGATGGAAATGGGGCAGAAAGAATTACCAGAACAAAATGCAGAGGAGGCAGAGCCTGCCAGAAACCTGGCAGTCTGTGATGTTGCTACAGAAGAAGCAGCAGGGAATCAGGCAAATCATAGACAGAAGGAAGAGATGCAAGAATGCCATGGATCAGACACAATAATGCTGGGAGGAGCAGAAGAGGGGGAAGAGACCAAACAATCTGTTTCAGACCAGATCGCTCCTGATCAAGAAACAACAATTCTGAACCCTTTGGAAGAAGCTAAGCTAGATCCAGTAATGATTTCATCAGATCAGATTCCTTCTCTGTCAGATACTAAAGTATCCCTTCCAGAACAGAATCCATTATCTTTTCAGGAAACTGAAATTCTATTCCTGCAGTCACAACAGTCGTTACTACCAAATCAGAGTCCATCACTCCTTTTGGACCAATCTGTTTCATTGCAAGAAAATAAGGATTCTCTTCTAGGTCAAACCCTATCTCCATTGCCAGAATCCTCTATAGCATCAAATCCATCATCTTTGCAGGACCATTTTTCTTCTCCAGAACAGAAAGCATTCTCATTACAAGATGATAATACTCTTCAAGAAGCTAAAGTCTTCTTATCGGACCAGACCCCATCATCCATTCATGAAGCTAATGGAAAAAATCTGGACCAGATCTCAACTGCTCTTCAAGAATGTAGTGATTCTGTAGTAGATCAAATACTGCCTACCTCTCCAGACCAGCTCACATCTCTTGCAGAAAAGATTCCATTACATGAAGGGCAGAGATCACCCCACATCTTGCCAACTGTTCTGAACAAAGAACAGTCTGTGTTGGAGATGAAAGGTCCCCTTCCAGATATCGCCCCTTCTGTTATTAATCAACTCTCTTCTCTATCTGATCAAATCATTCCCCTTGAAGAAGCCAATAATTCTTCCTTGGGAGAAGTTTCAGTACCTTTGCAAGTCCAAATGCCAACTGTTACAGAAACTCAAACACTGCTTCTTTCTGAGGGTGATAAATTTCCTTCAGGCCAGATCCCATTATCTGAGAATGAAAAGGAGACACCAACATCTGGGCCAGATGGCAAGAAGGTGACAGGATCTCTAACTGATCATTCACCACTTCAAAATCAGGCCCCTTCCTGTCTTCCAGAACAATCACTTAAAGACCAAGCTCAACCAACAGTAGTGGAGCACATGTCAGTCTCTCTGCAGAACCAAACCTCTTCCCTTAAAGAAACAGAAGAGACTCTTCCAGGAAAGACATCTCCAATTCTTGTGGAAAAGACGCCCACACTGTTGGATCAAACTCCAACCCCTAACAAAGACCAGAGTCCAAAACTACAAAAGACAACTGTTCTTGATGCTTTGTCAACTGTGAACCAAGATTCTGCTCAACCCCTTCTGGATGCAACTGTAAATTCACAGAACCAGGAATTGAAAGAAGATAGAGATGCTAATTTGGCTTCAGAAGCAGAGACCACTGAGATCCAAGAAAATATTGCTGCTGAGCAACAACCTTTGTTGAATGAGCTGAAAACCGCAGTAACCCCCCAGGACATTTCTCTAGGAGATCAGCAGCAGTCCAAGAGTGGGATCCAAAAGCATCAGGGTGCCTCAGTCCAGGAGGCCCCAATTTACATCACCACTGATGGCAATCCTGCCTCATGCCACCTCCAACCTGCAGCATCACACCAGGAGGAGGGTCAAGAGCAGGGGCAGAGCAGACGCAAGCAGAAGACATGCCAGTGCTGCTTGGTCATGTAAGCTTGGCGTCTTTCACCTAGTTGAGGAGAACAGGTGTCATTGATCTGGTCCTAGCAGCAGGCTCTGAAAGTGGTAACATGCCCTGCTAATCATGTAGTGTAAGCATCTCACACATTCACGCATGCGCATGCACACACATGCATACAGTACACACTCCATGGAGGGATTTGAAGGCAAGTTGCATAGATGGGTCCATGGAAGGCTTGCTGCGTCACGAAAGAGAGAGTGTTCAATGACAGGATTGTTTCTCTTTATTGATTTCTCATAGCTCTCCTCCCAGTTTTCCTGGAGGCAGAAAATGAGGGATACCCTGCTTGGGCAGATTGTATCGGCCCACACATTCTCCTGCAGCATGCACACTTCTCCCTACACTAGTAGTGTAGACCTGCATTTTTCTTGGCACTGTCAAATACTGTATCACCATTCCCTCCACTTATAGTTTATGTGCCTGCATGTCATCCTTGTTGTGCGTGCATGTACATTACACATTTAGAATGCACATGTGTGTGCACAAAGGTTAATAACATGCAAACCGAGATAGAGGCATATCCATCTTTTCTTCCTTTGGCTTGCAAGGCATTTTCCTATCTTGGAAAACACCTGAGTTATGTGCCATTACAAACCTACAGGCTTCCACAACCTTTTCACAGGGCTGGACACAAAGGCTACAATATGCATGCAGAACTCCTGCCATCCACATTCTCCGCATGTGCCTGAACCCCGTCTGCTGAGTTGGCATGACTCACCAAATCAATCTGGACCCACTCCAGACACTGAGCAATACCCTCTTCCTCCTGTTCCCACCTCCTGCACCTCTGCTAAGATGGCCAGCTGGACACAATTCATCTTGCAGGGCAGTGACACATACGACACAAGAGGACTTCCTGCCAATAGGCAGTGCATTGCAGGGACTTTGGACAAGGCACTATTGGAACCTTCTCTCCTAAATGTGGTCTCCAGCTAAGATCTTGTGTGTGGTAGACTCAACGTTCTGCCTCCCAAAACGGGACTGAGAAACCTTTCCTAGCTCTGACTCTTCCCTTCCTACAAAAAGCCTGGGTTTGTGTCCCGCTAGGCCACAAGCTCTTCCCTTAACCCTTCATGTCCTCCTTTTGGTGACTGTTTATTCTATGCACTTTGTTTCGATTTTAGTTATATAACTTCTGTTAGGGCCACCACCTAAGCCAGTAAGAGCCTTTTAAATGTCAGTTTCTGGCTAATACTGATTCTCAATTAAAGTCAGATGCAATGACAAGCAATACCTGTGACTCTGCTTGGGTTGGGACGTGACTTGCCTCCTGGGCTTGGAAATGGGGCAGGTTAGCAGAACTGTCTGATGATCCACTTTGTGCCAATTATCAAAGACCCAGGGTGATCTGGAGGTAGACGGATGAAGAGTTGTGATCCTGTCTCTTGTTTTCCAGTCCTGGGAAAGAGGTAGCAGTTAAAAGCCACTTCACTATCCCTCCTTTTCCAACAAGGGCTTATCATGAATAATAAATAATACATTATATTTATGTATGGCTTTGAAAGTGCTGAAAGTACATCCCATGCAATCTCAGTCATACTTAACAATACAGTTAAGTAGGTCAGTGCTCCATCACGTTAGAAGAATGGAGTGGGGAAAGCAGAGGCTGGAAGAACAGATCCCTTCCTTAAAATCTCACACCATGCCTCAAACTTGTAGCCTTTTCCTTCTGGTTATGGTGGCTGCATTCCAGGTCTGAAGTATTATAAGGAGTGAGCACAAGTAAGCATTGCTGGATTGAAGTTTCTTCCAGGGGTCCAATTCCAAATGTCCCATGGGGAGAAGAAATAGCAACAAAAATCATCTGAGATGCCTAATATAAATATACGAAGTGTGTTCTTGGCAAAGCTGAGATTTGGAACTGGAATGGTAGTGACGAGGTAGTCTTTTCCTCACTCCGAATAATTTGTTAAACTACATTATGACAGCAATACATATGTGTATAGAACAGATGAAATACTTGATATCAAAATTGTTCCAGTTGAGGAAAAGCCAAGTAGATGGTATTTGTTTGTATGGCAGGAATCAGCCATCCATGTATCATGCCCGGCTCCATCAAACTGGTCACCCAAACTGCTGATTTCTGATGGCACAACGTGTGCAATGCCACACATCAAACAAATTCTTAAGGTTTCATTTTAGAATAACAGAGTTGGAAGGGATCTTGGAGATCTTTTAGTCCAATCTCCGGCTCTTATTTATTTATTTACTTATCTTATTTAAGGGAAGTTTGAGCTGCGGGTGCAAAGAAAAAAAAACACCTGCCCACTGTCTTGTGTCAATATAAGGACAGAAGTGGCATCTGAGTAAAAACAGAAACTGCTCAATTTGGGGGCAAATATAATACACGTAAAATTCACAGTGCTAAGATTACAACATATATTTATAGACACAAACACTCATACTGTACCTTCCATTTCTAACTGACCAAGGACAAAAAGTGATACAAGAGGAAAAACCACAGGAAAGCAAGCTTGATTCTGAGCCCCATTATTAGATCTGCTCATTCCTGTCTGCGCACAGGACCATCTTTTGCTGTCTGTGATGATTTTTCCACCCATCCAATATCACTGTTGGCCATTTTGCCTGTAGGATATTCCTGCCTCATATTTTTCGTGGCATTCTCCTCAAGGTCCTGTGAAATTTGTATGACCATGTAGGAAATCATCCAAAATGATGCTTACGTTGGCTTTCCTACCCAGTCTTGTATTTCTGCAACAGATACTTTGATTTTCTCACTGGAGCGTTTTCCTGTTGAAATTTAAGGCAACTTCCAACTTCCTTCTATGTTTCAGAAGTATGATAGTTGTGCTACGCAGCCAATACAGGTTTTGGAAGCTCTGAAGGACAGAAGGTGAGGTTGGAGGTTTCATAGTGTACAATGTGTGACTCCCGACTTAGGCAGGGAGGGAGAAAGCAGAGGGATTTGTTAGGTTTCTAGCCAACCAGGGCTCCAAAAGTAGGGATTCACCAGACGTCTTGGAAGAAGAGTTCCTTGAAAGATCCTCTTGCAGACTCAGATCGTACAGACTCAACTTCGCAAGAGATGTGAAATTGATCAAGCCACGCCTTTGTTCAGTGCCCAATGAGGCAGTGGGTTTGACAGCTTTGAGAAACAAACACGGCATTTTAATTTTCACCGGACTCTTTTCTCATGGATGGTTCACAAAAGAGACAAAGTGCCATTTGATTTTACTAAATCATACTGAGAAAAGTGAGCCCAGAAGTTTCTCTTCCCAGCTTGATCTACCTGGACATGTCATTTAGCAAGGCTGCCAAACTCTGCTTTTACCCAAATCCCAAAGCCACTTGCTTTAATGTGACAGCAGTCACTTTACCAATGCCATGGCTAAAGCACTAGGCAGGGACTGATTTTATGTCTCCTTCATGTATGCTCTTTGTCAGGCTTCCAGGAAAGCAGCATCATTTTTACTTTTGATATGGTAATCTTGCAGCAGTCTGACATATTTTCCATTCCAAATCTGGTTCTTAGCATTTGGCATGTATTTATAACATATGATCCAAAGTCACATTATTGTTTCTGACAAGTAAAGTCATCATGGAAAGCAAGATTTACTTAACAACCTGATGACTTGTTTAACAACCACAGTGATTCACTTAACAATCATGGCCACAAAAAAAAGGTTAGTAAAATCAGGTGCAATTCAACAATGGAAGTTCCAGTCAAAAGTGTGGTCATAAATCAAGGATACCTATACAGTATTTGCCTTTGTACTGTATTATAGTGATTATACTTTTTGCTCCCCACTAGTAAGCAATGTAAGATCAGTTTCATTCTTACTTGAGTTTGTCAGCCTTAGATGACGCCCACAAATTAAGCCTGATAGATTGTATTCAACTTTATCAGAATTTGAACTCATGATCTTTACAATATATAGCAAATATCTTCACTGAAATAGAAAGCCATATAAATTCCACACTGCAGGGAGGACCTGAGGTTTCTAGAATGAGCCCCAGGCAAAATAATAACTATAACTGAAGCTGAATTGATAAATTTGACTTATTAGAAAAAAGATTTTTTTCTAATATTATCTACATTTATTGGTGCCTGGAAGTCTCTTACGGACTTTTGCATAAATGTGGAAAAATGAACATGATTCATGTCTTTGATGATTAGACAGGATAAATTATGGAAAGGAGATTCATGATGTAACTTTAGAGAGAGTGGTTTAAAAAAACCATCTACTTATGGCTGCTGTGAAGAATTTCGGGAGCCATTTCTTTATATTGATTTCTTTTCTACTTTTCTTCAGGTTTTTTTTTCTTGCATATTTTTCTTTTTCTTAGTTTATTAGTTTTTACCTTCTTGTTTAAAAGTTTAAATGAAATTATATTTTAAAAATGTACCATTCATAACATCTACCTGCATTTCCCCACTTGCACCTAACTGTGGAGTCAACATTGAGTCAATAACCTTCTATTCCCTGCCAGTTATTGACTAAATAATTTAATTTCTAGGCTGCCCAATGACAGAATAACTCTGGGTGTCTCCACAAAAGTAAAACAATATAATGTAAAAAAGACACCACTTGTCTGAAGGAAAAACATCTCCCTTCACTTAATGGGGTCCACCCAAATATTGCCTTTATCTCATCTCCAACCTATACCTGAGCCAACCTAAAGCAACAACCAGATTTTTAAATGCCAAGTAGTGTTTTGCCCTTTTGACAGGGAACAAGCTAGATCAGCTTTGGCACAGATGCTAGTTAACATGTCTCACCATATTGCAGTTAAGTGAGGTTAGCCTAGCACTTCTTGATCATTCAAAGCTGTTGCAGATCTTTCTTTGCTAGCCTTGAGCACTATCTTCCAGGGCCATTCAGCTGTGCGTGGTGAGAAAGTCCAGTTATTTCAAACTGGGCTCTGTTTCTGACAGGCATCCAAATCAATCCCCAAATCAGTCTGAACAGCATCTAAGCAGCCAGAATAGAATAGAATAGAATAGAATAGAATAGAATAGAATAGAATAGGAATAATAGAATAGAATAGAATAGAATAGAATAGAATAGAATAGAATAGAATTCTTTATTGGCAAAGTGTATTCCTTGACACACAAGGAATTTGTCTTTGGTGCATATGCTCTCTGTACATAAAATAAAAGATACATTTGTTAAGAATCATAAACTACAACACTTAATGATAGTCATAGGGTACAAATAAGCAATCAAATCATACTAGGAAACAATCAATATAAATCGTAAGGATACAGCAACAAGTTACAGTCATACAGTCATAAGTGGGAGGAGATGGGTGATAGGAATGATGAGAAGATTAATAGTAATAGCAATGCAAACTAAGTGAATAGTTTGACAGTGTTGAGGGAATTATTTGTTTAGCAGAATGATGGCATTCGAGAAAAAACTGTTCTTTTGTCTAGTTGTTCTGGTGTGCAGTGCTCTGTAGCATCGCTTTGAGGGTAGGAGTTGAAACAATTTGTGTCCAGGATGCGAGGGGTCTGTAACCCTTTGAATGGTGTGGGAGTAGGAATGGATTTCCAGAGAAAAATTGCAGACTACAGGAACCAGGAGCGCTACTCAGGTGACCCTGAGGACACAGATAAACCTCAAAGTGCTTCAAGGACCCTCTAAAAGGATGCAAATAACCAGCTGTCTGCAAGGAATATAAATCCTTCCATTCCCCACTATCCTGTCAGAACTGAAGAGGCTTCTTGGATGAGAAGCGAAATGTCTTCAAAGAAAAAACAAGAAAGCCCAGCTGCTTCCTGAAAAAGCACCTTTGGGATAAGCAGCCAGTAAGCACCAGAGATGTAGGCTGAAATGAAATGCAATGCAGACAGCCAACCTCTGTTAGCTGGTTGGAAATGAAGATTTACCACTCTTCTGGGGATCGGGTATAAGTTTAGTGCCACTTCAGCTTAACAGTAAATCTCATCTAGAAGTCTATATCTTAAAAGCAGGCCAAGTGAATAATCTTAGTATGCTGAATGGAACCCATGAGATAAACTTGAAAGTGAAGACTATAAGAAACAACAAAACCTTTAGGAAATAACCAACTTCCAAAAAATATCCAAAATATTAGAACTGTCCTGCCTCCTAGTGGTGACAAGGGAAATATTGCTACCATTTAAAACGTTGGTTAGTGCTACCAAACTCTTGCTTAAAGAATAAATATTTAAAGGATGCATGGAAATATGCCTGGGTGTAAGCAGCAATAAATGATTGCTTGCCTTTTTCAGTACTGATATATCTTACTCAGACATCTTGCCTTATAACTTGTTCTTCTGTAAGTTCTTCTACTATTTCAGATAAGTGACTGTTCTTTTGGACAGTCACTTGTCTGAAATGGTATAGGGCAGTGGTGAGTTTCAAATTGTTTACTACTGGTTCTGTGGGTGTGGCTTGGTGGGCGTGGTGTGGTGGGTGTGGCAGGGGAAGGTTACTGCAAAATCCCCATTTCCTTCCGATCAGCTGGGACTTGGGAGGCATAGAATAGATGGGGGCGGGGCCAGTCACAATTTTTACTACCGGTTCTCCAAACTACTCAAAATTTCCGCTACCGGTTCTCCAGAACTGGTCAGAACCTGCTGAAACCCACCTCTGGTATAGGGTCTCCTGCTCGAACAGAAGGCTGGACGAGAAGACCTCCAAGGCCCCTGCCAGCTCTATTCTGATTGGTTGATTGAAGTTCTTGTATCGCTAAACCTTGTGATTTGACCAATTTTAAAGAGGGCATCCCATTTTACTCTCTCCCTCCTCATTAGCTACTCAAGAACCTTCTCTCACTGTCTTTTCTACTATAGTCTGTGGCCTACTAGCACCCTAGAGCAGTGTTTCTCAACCTTGGTAGCTTGAAGATGGGTGGACTTCAACTCCCAAAATCCCCCAGCCAGCACTGCCCTAGAGGGAGATGCTGTTCAAAATTACAGCTCTATACTGGAAAATTCACAATTGTTACATGTTTTTCTTAGATTAGATTGATTACAAAGGAGACAGAAGTGAGTCTTCATAAAGAGAAAAACACCAAAGTAAAATTGTATCCACTTGCAGATAGTGTTCAGCCAGACCTCTGCTAGTTCTTACAAAAATAATGAGAGAAAAATGCAGGGATTATCTGAGCATGGCAAAATAGGAATGACTGCTGAAATAAAACCTGGGTTCACACATCACATTAAACCATAACGTTATGTGTTTGATTTTTGTTTGATGTAAACCCACCCCTTACAGTTTAAACCTCTTGGTGTTAGAGAATTATAATGTGTTATTATGTGGGTGTCAACTCTTAGTGATCAGGTATAATTTTTCCCAGGAGGATTTGTCCCCAAAATGATCCTCCAGGTGTTCTAAAGGTGCACCCATCACCACTATAACTGAGTCCATCCACCTTGTTGCTGGTTATCCTCTTCTCTTTCTTTCCAGTTTTCCCAGCATTAAAGCCTTCTCCAGAGCTGTGGACTAATTAGCTGTGACTAATGTGAAGTAATGTGAAGTATGATAATCTGATCCTTGATGTTTGTGTGCCTCAAGAGAGAATGCTGAGTCTATTTGTTCTATGATCCCTTGTTTGTTTCCTGGGTTATCCATGATACACTCTTTGAGTTTCAAAAAATGGGATGACTGGTGATATTATTTTGCTTTAGAAATAAGATCAGTTCAGCGCACTTGAATGGATATGTGGATATTCATCTACCAATCATGATAGCCAAGGAGGACTCTCTCTGATCTCTATTCTTGTAGAAGAATGGGAGATTAGTGTTTCCATGCTTCTTACTATCTGTAATTTACTGGTCTTGTTGAGATACCTATCTGATCTAGCAAGCCTCTATGTCCTTACGAAATCATAAAGAACAAACTATGCGCCTGCCAACTAAATGGTGGGGCTGTAACCACTCCTGCTCCACATAGACTCCACGGTTGATATACATCAACTTTGTACCATATACATCTTACTTTGTACTTCTTGATACAAAGTAAGATCTTTCATAAGATGACGTTTCAGCCCACAAAATTCCTTTGAAGAAGCATGGCTTTCCAGTATTTGATTTGCTGCTATGGCCAGGAAAAGAAGATGGACGTTAACACTGCAATGATCGAAAAGTTGAAAAATGAATGATGGAAAAACACTCAAGACAACATCTGTACCAAGGAAACAACTGTGCGCACGAGATAGCTTCTGCATTGGGCTTCTTAAAACCAATGTATCCTTTAGGAGCATGTGCTGCTACTTTTTAAAACAAACATTTATGAACTACAAAATACAAATATTACAAATATTTATTAATTTTTTTATCTTCATTTTTGGTCAATTCAAAATGTACACCTTAGGTGCACACCTAAAGTTTATTTTTATTTTCCCTGTAAGCTGGCTTGCACTGAGAGAGAATGATTGATCACCCAGCCTAAGGAGGACCAGAACTCATGGCCTCCCAGTGGTTAATCCAGCACCTCAGCCACTATACTGAAATGGTTTATAACTCCTGGGTGATGGGAATCACCCTACCCTTTAAAAAGTAAAGTTTTACAGGCCTTCTTGGTATAAAGTAAAAAAAAAGTAGGTTTCCTCAGTTTCAGCCTGGGGAATTTCACAGCTGCTAGGCTATAGTCACAAAGACCTTGTTTCTAGCACCTGGGGGGGAAAAGTCTGATTTGGGCATCTTTGAAGAAAGGATCCATCATCCAACACAAGTACCAACTCCATATTCTGGAGATTTGCTGAAGATCAGAAGTGATATCAGAAGACTCTCACCAGGAGAATCTTGAAGACCCTGGAGATTGGATCAGGTCACTGCAGTCTCTGGCTTAAATTCATTGCCCTGTTTGTTTTAAGCAGATCAAATGATGTTAAGAGACATTTCAGTCATTTGATCCAAAGGCACAGTAGGACCTTTTGAAGAACCCAAGGAATGTTCCTTCCAAGAGAAGTTGCATCTGCAGCTGGATCAGAAGTAGCAGCTGAGCATATGACACCCAAAGATCATGTCTCCCTTTCTCTTAGTCCGGAAAAAGGAGAATTGTTTCTTTCCTGCTCAATCCAATTCAGGATTTCCTCTTGAGTAGGAAGAAACCGTTTTTCATAACCAGAAATCGCCATGGCAGTTGATCTTGGTAGTGGTGGAGAAGGAGAAGGAGAAGGCTCAGGGATTTCTTCTGATATATCTACAATGTCCATAATTTCTGGAAACTGGGTCGAACACTTGGTCAGGGCCTCCTGAAAAAAAAAATGCAGCAAAATCATAAGGAGCCCTAACTCAAACTCAGCAAGTGAACCTACTGTAAGGGAACAGCAAAGCCCATTCAGGATGTCAAAACATAGCCTCTAACCTTAAATATTTGACTCCCATTTTTCAGATTTCCAAGCTCCTTAACTTTATCAAACTTGGCATAGTTTTCAAAGCAGCCCACTTTTGGAACAACCCTTTTGAGAGTCCTCAATAAATGGCAGAAATACTGGATGAAGGAAACATGTTTTTCCACCATTTCTGCTAGGATAAGCAACCCCCCCCCCCACTAACAAGCTATGGATCTATCCTATCTATGGGAAAGGGGAATCTTTAGCCTGTTCTTTGCAACATCTTTCCTCAATTTGGTTCCCTTCAGATGTGCTGAATTCCAATTTCCAACACTCTCAAATTTTGTCACATTTGTGAATGATGGGAATTATAGTCTAATGCAAATCTGAAGGGACTGAGGTTAGAGATTGATGCTCTTACATCTTTAAGAAAAGTTTCCAATTCTGAGAATACATTTGCAGATTCAGCTGTAAGCACATTTTCGAAGTGTAGCTATAAATCAGTGTTGAAGTTCAGAAATATGGCAAATAAAGAGAGAGAAAAAAGACAAGAATACCAAATATCTTTAGTCCAATGTACAGGCATGCTATTCTGCTTTGACCAGCCATCGACAGTAATCCACACAGAAGATGAATGGAATACAATTTTAAAATGTACATAAAGTAATGCCTTGGTCAAATGCACAAAGTATCGTATTTTTTGGTCTGTAAGATGCACCCCCCCCCCAAAAAAGTGGGTGGAAATGTCTGTGCATCTTATAGAGCAAATTTTGCTGAAAGCCCGGCCTCCTGCCAGCAATTTGCCTCCTTGCGGGGATCATGGCTGCCCATCACCACCCATCGCCACCCATCATTGCCACTCATTGCCACCACCACCCATCACCGCCTCAGCCTCAGCGGCGGTGATCCCTATCACCTGGAACAGACCAAAAATGGGACACAGAGGCTAAAAATGGGCTGTGCAGAGGCCGAAAACAGGCCGCACAAGGGCAAAAGATGGGGTGTGCGGAGGCCAAAAATGGGATGCGGAGGCGGCAATGGATGGCGGCGATCCCCGCAGCCTGGAACAGCTGATCAGCAGTATTCTGGGAGGCCGATCCAACCGCCAATCAGCTGCTCATGCTAAATCAGGCTGTGTTGAAACTGACCAGGCTGTTTGCTGTTTGCTGTAAAGAGGCAAATTGCTGGGAGGCAATTTTTTTTGTTTTCCTCCCCAAAAGCTAGGTGCATTATGGTCCAGAGCATCTTATAGTGCAAAAAATATGGTAGTTAGTGTGGACTTTATGTCCATCCAATTACTACTTAAACAACCTCAATCTGCAAACTTTAGTTTAAGGTTTTAGCTTTAGTTCTTATTAGAACCATCTTTAGAAAGAGAAGCAGATGAATCTCCAAGACCTCAGTAGAAGACAATACAGTCCCGATACAAAAAAGACAAGGAGGAGTTTGGTATAGAAACGGGCTAATTGATTTGACACGATATGGATGGGAACTGAAAATAAACTATTAGCCAAATTATATTATTTGCTTGAATGTGATAGGGTAAAAGAGGTAGTTAAAGACCAAATGATTGCATGGGCTAAAAATATTGGACACAGTATAAATCTAAATGAATGGGAAACAATCTGGAACAGTAACCTTAAATTGACAAGGGCAGTAGTGTATAAGGAAAACCAATATAAGATGCTACATAGGTGGCATCTAGCCCCTACTAGGATTGCAAAAATTTATCCTAACACGAGCCCAAACTGTTGGAAATGCAGTCACCATCAAGGCACTTTCTATCATATGTGGTGGACATGCCTCAAAGCGACGAAATTCTGGAAAATGATTCGAAGATGGACTCAAGAAATAATAGAGGAAAATATTGATTTAGAACCCGAAACTTTTCTCCTGAGAATACTGAAAAGGGCATATGAGAAAAAAAGAGGTACCTAATTATGCATGTCATTACAGCTGCTAGAATAATATATGCACAGTATTGGAAAGAGAAAGGGCTACCACCAGAAGAACATGTAATTAGAAAAATATTAGAATGCGCCGAGATGAATAAGTTAACATATGTGATAAATGAAAAAGAGAACTCGGAATATTACACAGTGTGGGAAATGTGGTATAAGTGGATGGAAGAAAAAAGTAAAAGGTAGAATAAGAAAGGGTGCAAATATCAATAACAATTAAGTAATTAAGGAACACCATGTATATAATCTGTATATATTTATGAACACCGCTAAACTGAAAATTGTTAAATTGTATTATTATATATTTCAATAAAAATAAAAAATAAATAAAAAGAAGACAATACAGTACTTCCTCTTTTGTACCCCCTGCAAATGCACTTAACTCATGCAGTTTTTTAAATTGCTTCTTACCATGGTTGGTGCAGTGCTCTCTTCATTCATCTCCACAGCAATCCCACTGTGTTTTGGATCTGGAATTTTCTCCCAACACCACCGAGGCAGGACCTTTTGGCAGAGGCCCACTAGCCTACAAAACAAGAGATGTCAGAGGTCACTTTGCATGGTATTTAAATAATAATTTAGGCAACCAGTAAAAGAATTTAGGTTAGCCAGCCATACAGATGGTATGCCTGCATCTCTGCCTTCCATCACTTACCTTCTATATTTCAACAGCACAATAATGGAACCCATTACAAGCAGGATCACCACAGGTAAGAAAACTATCAAAATGTTCTGCCAATGAAAAACTGCAAGAGATTTAAGGACAACACTGTCATTTACTATTGTATCAAATGTATACATTGCCAACTCTATTCCATCTCATGCCAAAATTCACAAGTTCCATGGTTCCAAGATAAAAACATCAACTTTAAAACATCCTCTGAAAAAATATAAACTACTACAAGAATATTAAAACATCTATTGTAAATAACTCTAACTTGTCATTCACTCACCATGCTCAGTCCCTGCTACCCCAATACCATAAGAGTATGAACTACTTTTAATTTTTCCACAAGGAGAACTGAGCAATCTTGGCTCTAATGGGGCAAAATAAAAGGAATACTTCAAAAAAAGGTGACTCAGTTCTTACAGGTGACGATGATACATTAAAAGTATGCAGTCACACTTGTGAATGATGGGAATTGTAATCTAATGCAAATCTGGAGCTGCAATGTTTATAATCCATTCCAGAAGTATGTAGATACAGGTAGTCCACATATAACAACAATAATTGGGCCTGGAATCTCTTATCACAATGTCAGGGTTTCAAAAAACACCCCCAAGTGAAGCAGTCATAAAGTACAATGCCATGTGTCTGCATCACTTAGCAACACAATCCCAGCAATCTCCATTGTCATCATTGAACAAAGACCTTACGTGACTGCAACATGGAAAGAATCCAGAATTGTTTGTTTATACTGCTGAAATCACCTAAACGAGGGTGTGGAATGGTAGAGGGAGTGGTATAGGTTGAGTGCACTGGAGTGCAGCACAAGTTGGGGAAGGTGTACTAGAGCGCATAGAGTGGCTGGCACAGTGCAAGGACAAAAGGGGCTGGAGGAAGGTGGAGACTTGCCCCACTGACTTACAAACTTTCCTGCCAGCTTCCCCACTGACTTTCTGGGGAACCCGCAGGAAAGGTTGCATATAGCGAACATGTGATCACAGGATGCTGCAATTGATCATAAGTGTGAAGTGGTTGCCAAGCACCCAAATTGCCATCATGTGACCACAGAGATGCTGGGACTGCTGAAACAACAAGAACCAATCATGGCATTTATTCAGTGCCCTCACAACTTTGAAGAGTCACTAAACAAGCGGTTGTAGTTTGAAGACCTGCAATTAATAGCAAAACGGTATCAAGGTACCAAAATCTTTAGCGTAATTGTGCTAAGGTGATTGATTTCACAGCTAGTTTTAGCACGAGCTTTCTTGCTCCTATACTTATCTCCTGTTAATATACCAGTTTGGTTTAAGGAACAAGGCTTCTACTAGTCCCTCCTACCTGATGTACTGAAGTGATGCATGGCACTAGCCACACCTTCTCCAGCTGATGTAGAGCCAGTCATCCAGACTTGGTAGGTTGCTCCTGGCTCCAGATCTGAAACAGTGTAATTTCTTTCCGTAGCACTAACTGTAAGGTAAAACAAAAAACAATATATATGTATATATCCTGGGCAGATGGTAATCAGGACCCATAGTCCATAGTTCACTGGTGGAGGATAACTTTCAAAAACACTGCAGAACCCTCTCTAGCTTAACTAGTAGATTTACGCCAGACAAGAACAGAATACACTGTGTTTACACTTTACAGACAGAAAGAGGGAATCCCTTATATCTTTCCCAAAGTGATGTCTTAGCTTTTGGAAAAGAATGCCTTACAATGCACATTTAATATAAGGCATAAGGAAATCAAGACCTCTGCATGCTTCACCCTCACAAATGTGTGTTGACTCTTATTGTTTTTTTATGTTGCCATACACTGAAATGTACAGGTAGCCATCAACATAGGATGGCAAATGGAACTGGAATTTCCATCGCTAAGCAATGTGGTCATAATGGCAACCGCACTGGTTAGGGATGGTAATCCCTGAAGACCTGGCTGCTATTGTTAACTGAAACCCATGGTGGTTAGGTGAGGCAACTTCCTGCAAGTTTCCTACAACCAAGTCAGTGGGGAAGCCAGAGGGAAGTTGCAAGCCCCAGTTGATTTACCAGCAGGCCAGTAAGTTAATTTTAATGTTAGGTTATATATATATATATTATTTATCAGTTATAATATATTGTACGCTGCCCAGAAACCCTCTCCAACGAAGATGGGCACTTTAAAAACATGAAATATAAATAAATATAGGTAGCTGCTGCTGGATGGAGGAGAGTGCAAAGGTGTGTGTAAAGGTGCAAGGGAGATGCGGCAAGGCTCAGGGAGGATGTGTGTCTGTGTGTGGGTGGGTGTGCCAGAGTGCAAGAGGGGAACAGAAAGAGTTGGGATGTGAAGTAATATACAAGGGCAGGAGAAAGATATGGCAAGGGTGTGCAAGAGAGGCCCATTGAGGGCCAGGGAGGGTGTGCTAAGGGTGTGCAGGAGTGTGAAGGGGGCACAGTAAGAGCCAGGGAGGATATGCAAGGATGAATGAAGGTCTAAAGGAGGCACAAGGGCCATGGAGGGTATGCAGGAGTGCAGGAATGGCTGGTGTGGCACAAGCACAGAAGGCCTGGGAAAGAGTGTGTGGATGAGGGAGACTTATCTCAGTGACTTGCGACCTACCCTGCTGGTTCCCTATTGACTTTCTGGAGAAGCCATTAGGGAAGGTCGCAAATAGTGATCCTGCAACTGAGGTATGCTGCAACTGCAACAGCAACTAAGTATGATCTGTAGCCAAATTCCCAGATTGTAATCATGGGATTGCAGATTGCTGGGGTAGCAGGAACTCCAAGGACCAGTCATAACCACCATTTGTTTGAAAGATTGCTGAACAAATAGCCATAAATTGAGGACTACCTGTATGGATTGTATCAACTGGAAATCTGCAAATACAAATTTGTAATTTTGGGGATCTAATGGAGGAATTTGGGTTTGATTTCCACATAAAAGATGGGCAGCAGAGTCAAAAAAACCACTCCTTCTCATACCTTTTTATATCTCATATAAGGGATTTTGCTCCTAAGTTTCCAGAGATACTTTAGGCTACAAAGGACGAGCCAAACAAAGAGGAACATATCCACTCACATATGCTTTTTACTTAAAGAACCAGACTCCCCCCACTTTGTTATATAAAAAGAGTAGATAAATATGGTATGTCTTGTTATGACTATTTGTTCCCCAAAAGTTTTACAACAAATTTCTGGATTCGTACATCTTCCCTAAGTGATCTTTCCAGAGAAAACCTGTAGATATCACCTAGTGTCAAACCAATGCCCTTGAGAAGTAATGAATTATCTCCATTTAATATGGGACTGAAGGGAATAATCCAACCATCTGGAGGACACCAGAGGAGAGAGCTGATGCAGAGGATTGTAATTAAGAGGTAATTTTAGGAGGACCCATGCCTTCCTCCTCAATTATGTTTAGGCTGATTTAGAATCTCACTTACTGGGTGCGTGAACCATAAGGATGTCTGGATGGAGATGTTTCAGGTAAAGTGTATAGTGTATGATATGTCCATTGCGGTCTGCCAAGGGAATCTCCTTCCAAGAGATGGAAGTGGCAGTGGACGAAAGTCTTCTGTCTTGCAGTCCTTCAGGGCCAGCTGATGGTACTGGAAAAGCAAAGGAGGAATTAGAGGCTGTGAACCAGATCGGTATACGAGCAAAGCTTACAGTTCATCTCCATACTGTAACAAGGACACATTGCATTACCTACCACACTACAGAAGATATACCAAAAGTCATGTTCCATAGGCCAATAGGTCCAAAGGACATCATCAGCACGAGCACGTGACACCCCCCCATGCCTTGCCCCCTGTGCATGCGCACACAACTCCTCCGCGCTCCCCCGTGCATGTGCGTGTGGCCCCTGCCCCCTCCATGCATGCACGCACAACCCCCTGCCCCGTTTTGGGCCTAGTAGGCCTCCCTGTCACCTCCTGGAACCAAAAATGGCCACAGGGGTGTGTGCTGCACCCCCTGCGCTCCCCCCCCCCCCCACATGCACATGTGACCACCCGCCCATGACCCCCCGTGCATGCACGTGTGTGTCCTGCATGCACCCCGCCCCCGGCACATGCACAGCAGAGAGCCAAAAATCAGCTGGTTGGCGGGAGACGTGCATGCATGCACGGTGGAGCTGAGCTGGGCGACGGCTTGCGTGACTGCCGAGAGGGCTCTGTGTGCCAGCTGTGGCATGCATGCCATAGGTTCGGCATCACAGTTCTATATAATAGATACAGCCTTCTTTTCCAAAATTCCTAGTTCACATGAAAAAATAACGTTTTTCCACTATGGTAGACATAGAACAGGAGATAGGCAAACCCTGGAAGCGATGGTCTTCTGAGAGGAAATGAAGACCAAATTCTTTAAATGATTGTGCAACAGCTGAAGCACCTTAAAATAGGTAGTCCTTGCTTAATGACCACTTGTTCAGTGACTATTTGAAGTTATGACAGTGCTGAAAAAGGAGATTTACAATCGGTCCCTGAAGTTCTGGGCACTTGGCAACCGGTTCACTCTTATGAGGTGCCTTACGGTGCCTTACAGTTATGCGATCACCATTTGCAACCTTCCCTGCTGGCTTCCCACAAGCAAAATCAGTGGAAGATGCCAGGGAACGTTGCAAGTTACTCTGGTAATTTGTTTGCACCCTCCCTTGCCTGGCAGCAGCTGTTTGCTAAGCACCCAAAATGCAATCATGAGACTGCAGGAGGGGAAGCAATTAGAATTTTGAAATCAGGTCGTAAGAAGCTCTGGAGACATCTGTCACAAATTTGAATTGTCACTAAGCAATTGGTTATACGTCAAGGACTACCCGAACCAACTGTCTAGCCTTAAGTCTCTCAGTGCCTAAGTTCTCTATTTTAGATAAGTGAAGCCCCAGCTCTTTTGTACCTGTATCAACATTGTTCACGCACATACAAAGGAGCAGCGCATCAATCACATAGACACGGCTGCCATCTTAACTTTTTAAATACACCTCCTCTCCCCCAACCCCTCCTTTCCAATGACCTTGGAGGGTATTTTCTCTTGGGCAAAAAAAGCTAAAGAAAGAAACCTAAATAAATTTGTTCTAAGACTGTGACTTACTTAGCTGAAAAAATGAAAAGCAGTATCTTTCTATCAGCTCTGCAGAAAAGCCGTCACTTTAAGAGACGCCTTGATAGGCTGTGGTTTTCTGCCTGCTGTTTCCTGTCATTTGGAGGTGGCCCTCTGCTTTTGTGGCACGGATCTGGTAGAACAACCTGATCTATAGAGTATATAAGGGCCACACTTGCATGTTTCCAATCCTCTCTAAAAACACATCTTTTTATACTAAGCAGCCGCAGCCATTATCTCCAACCGAAACTGGTTTTTTAAACAGATTTTATTTACAGCTCTGTTTTCACACTACTGTTGTAAGCTACTTCAGGAAAGGCATAAATGAGAAGTGACATGTAAATAACAATAAAGCATGAACCCAATCAGTTTTGGCTTACCTAACAAACCATAGCTTGTTTTCTATACAGATCTGCAGAGTGTTTGAATTCAGTTATAAAGTTTATTCTTGCGTGCAAATTTCTTTTGCTGCTGGAGTTAGCTGTACTAAATTAATTAAAGATGGCGCTTCATACTTCAGCTTGTTTTTTTAGAGTAGCAAAGATCATCAATTCTGGCTCAAAGAGCGATGCTAATCAACACCCAACCTCAGCAGGGCAGAGGTGGCTGTGGTATTGAAAGTTACAAGAATGCAGGGAGGAAAATTCACCTGAAATCTCTAAAGATCAAAGGGGAAATTCTGGCTCCACTGGTAACCACACTCCCTCCTGTGCACCCTGGGGATTACCTTCTTCTTTGAAGTAGGCGCGTACAGAGTCTGAGGCAGTTCTCCCATGAGCATACAGACCATACACACGCACAAGGTATGGTACCTTTGAACTGAAGTTGGCTAAAGTGGAAGAAAAAAACAAGGTTTAGGAAACTAACAACCTGCCGCCGGAAGTTTTGGGTGTTCCAACGCTGGAAGCTTTTAAGAAGAGATTGGACGACCATTTGGCTGAAATGGTATGGGGTTTCCTGCCTGAGCAGGGAGTTGGACCAGAAGATCTCCCAGGTCCCATCTAACTCTGTTATTCTTTTATTTATTGATTTGCTGTATAAACCTTAGCGAGTGGCAATGGCCAACCAGCTTTTGTCTTGGTGCTCAGTCTTCAGTACTCAATCCAGAAGACAGATATAAAGCTGTGAAAGCTAAAAGTCACCTGGGTCTGCTTTAACCTGTTTCTGCAGGAAATCAAAACAGAACATGGGACTCCAGGAAGTGGTGGAAAACTTTCAGCACCTCTTTTTCCAGAGGACACCCACTCCCTTTTTTCAACAGACGAAATTCACTCGTGTCCCAGAAGGTCCCAATTCCCTTCTACTCAGTTTACTTAGCAGAAATGGAAGGACAAACTAGATAAAGTTCATGCATTCAAACAGCATAATTTCATGGTTTTCATTATATAAGAAGCAATTTATATGCTTCTGTCAAAACTCGAGTAGCCTGGAGAAGGCGGAGCTCTAATGCTATAGACCTCTCCCTTTCCTACCACCTCACATGCTGCTTCATAGCTGCTGCTTCCAAGGAAGCTTCCACTGGAACAAAATGAGGCTTTTTTTTTGAGGGGGGGATGAAAATAGCAGCTGCAGAGATCATAATTTCAGTCAGTGGTAGTGGAAGAGGCAGCCACAAACACACACAGAGAGAAAAAAGAGTATGTATTACATTTCCTCCTATTTTCCAGAGTTCTAAAGCTACTGAGGAATTCCCAAAGCTGTTGTTTACATAATAAATAATATTACTGCAGATGAGATAAAACATCTCACCTCTCAATAGGACGCTGGTACTGCTTCCAAGTGTGCGAGTCCAGTTTAGCAATTCTCCTGCACCATCATCAATCTCTTTTCTCCACTCCACCACGTATTCCTGAGGCTGAACCCATTGAGAGTCGATGCTGGGCTTCCATGTCACGTTGAAACCCAAACCTTCTAATGCCACCACTGTCATCTCCTCAGGGCCTGGGAGCTCTACGAAAAGGAAAGACAGCTCATCATTATGCAGGAGATTGCCCAGAGCTCTGGCTATTATCCACACATAGCCATAAAATAATCCCATTAATTGCAAATCTTGGATCTCAGCCAATCTCAGATAAACATGGTTGGACCTTGTTAGTAGTTGAATAGGAGTCTATTAGTTGAAAAGAAACCCCCAAACCTTAGAAACAGGTCATGGCAAACTACTCAGTTGTCAAGAAAACTGCACAGAGATTTCCATGTCATCACCAGGCCTCAAGCTTGACTTGAAGGAATGTCACCATGTTGACAGGTCCTTCTCAAGTTGTTCAGTTTGTCTGAGGAACTCACCTGAGCTCTAAAAAAATGCTACTTGATTTCACAAAGTTTGAACCCTTGATGACCTCATTAACACATCTGTGTGGTTTTCTTGGCAGCAATACGAAAGTCATTTCTGCGTAACATTTTGAGAATTTCCAGTCTTACCACGCCCTCAGATTTTCTTCTGATTTCTCATCCAAATATAACCAGGACTTCTTATTTATTTAGAGGTTCGCCCAGGTATACTAGATGATGTTATGTAGCTGGGAATTTCATTTCTAAATTTAGAGAATCAAAATGGTTGACTGCCTGATACAAAATCAGGATCTTTTCTTAAGGTGGAGTACAGAAAGGGTAACAGGAATGAATATTTTTTGAGGGAAGGGAAGGGAAGGGAAGCCAACAGCTATTTTTTTCTTCAAGAATCAGTTGAGAAAGGCAGGAAGTAGGGCAAGAAAGAACTGTTTCAATCCTGTAGTGTAATATGGAGGTGCACCTGTTTTCTCCAAGCTGAGATTGGCCCAGAGTGTCTTCTTAACAGAGTTGCGGGCTGCTATTGAGATGTACTGTGCAGTGATAGGGATCAAAGTCTGACAGCAATTGTAATTTATTCTGTGAAGTGTTTTGTTGTGGTCCTGGAAGATAACTTCATAATCAAGGATCTTTCCCTGGGCTGCTTCTGGATCCAGTGCCTGTGAGAAGGGAAGCAGAATTCCTCAGCAGAGTGAAGAAAAAGGTGGGAGGGAGGGAGGGAAGGAAGGAAGGAAGGAAGGGGAGAAGGGAGGGAAACTGGGCTGAAGTAACCCAATTCATAGTCACTTGTGCTGTCCTGCTTCTCCTGAACCAGACATACCACAGGTACTGGTCATAAGCAATTCCAGTCAAAACTGGATCAACAGAAGACTCTGTACCATTGAGAAGAGGCATGACAGTACAAAAATTAAAACTTAACAAATAACTGTCTGCACTTGATTTGGCAAGAAAATGATGTTAAGAAAACATGTATAAAATATGAACTTCTTCCTCGTTTCTTCCAAAAAGCAGGAAGCTATCAAGTGAAAGACATTTTACCAAGAAAGGCTGAAAAGACATCCTGAGGTGCTTCAACGTTTTTCACTAAAAGGACCAAGCAAGGAAAAAAAAAAGGAGTGACTTTTTTTCACTCTCTACTTCCTCCTTCCTCACCCTGACCACTTGTATCTCTCTCAGGTGAGAAGAGATACATGTGGGCCCCAGGGAAGTCCAGCTGCCCCCAAGGAGGGAGAGGATACAAAGCAGAAGTAACTGGCCAGGCAGGAGTTGTAAAAGAGACCTGGTTTTTGCTAGTGTCACCCAGTAGATGCTTTGGGGGGGAAGAAATGAGAAAAGAAATTTATGCACGAGGGCAATTCGCAGGTCAGTCCAGAAAATGTTCCAGTTGATAAACACTTTGATTAGCTGTCTACTTATATTGAATTTCTAGTCTTTTGTAACTTAATTTTACTGAAGGGAGGGGAAAAAAACTGGGGATGAGACTTACTGCATACTGTTTGAGGGATTTTTTTTTAAAATTCACTGCCAGTGGAAGAAGAAAAGATAGCAGCTGCTCATGGGCATATTGACCGTTACAATGAAAAAAAAATATTTTCAAAGTAGAACCAAGTTGACTGGTTTTATACTGCAGGGAATTTGAAAGCAGGCACAGGCTTGAGAAACATTCAGCTCCAGATTAAATGCTAGCCTGATAATATGGAAGTTATCATAGATGTTCCAGGACAAGATTGTACTACTGTTATTTCTTCCCCATATATTTTACAGAATGTTCAAGTCAATTTGGGATTATTAGTACTAACTTTTGGTTTGCACTTCTCAAATGAAATCTGGTATCCTGGGATGCACATTTTGGGCTAAATTAGATTCAAGTCTATGGAAAGTATATTTTGAAAACCACAATTGCTAAGCTTATTACTGAATCATCATTCTGTCTGTTTTATTAGAATTGAATCCTAAGCACATTTATCTTGTTCTTATTTGACAGCTCCTGACAGTTAATAGATTTGAAGCATTTGAAGCATTTCTTTTCATGTATTAAAGTCTAACTACTTTCAAATTTGCAGCAAAGATATATTCTACCCATATAGAACAGTTTCAGTTTTTACAAACATTAAAGTATCTAAATAGACTTCCTTTTTGTATCTAAATATTAATATCTTAATATCTTACTATCTAAATATTAAGTATCTAAATAGACTTCCTTTTTGTTTTACAATTGTTTTTCTTTTCCAAATTCTTTCTTGTATCTCTAGTCAAAATGAGAAAAGATGTTTATCTTTCTTCCTTGGCTAAATTGGCTTTAGTCCAGTCATTGATGTCATCCTTGTAGAGATTTGGTTTCTTTAAACTATTGTATTTTCACCCCTTTGGGTCATTCATGCTTTGCCTCAAAATTCTTCTACCCAAATTCTCATCTGGCTCTAAAAACCCTGCCTTGCCCTATAACCCCACAGAGAACAAATTCTATATGATAAGAAACAGGATCCAGCTCACCTTCCACAGCAACAAGCGGCTTTCATTCTGGCAGTCAGAAACACACTCTTTTTGCCACACATCAACTTGACCTAAAGGAGCTAAAGGAATCAGAAAAGAGCCAAGTAATTATTAAGATTAGCCAACCAATTAGGTCTTCCCCCAAATAATACAAGTACGAAACAACTGAAAACAGAACACTTTGCATAACATGGTTACAAATGAAAAAAAAAAATCCCAATAAATATAAGGATGCAGATCTAGTTGTTCGTAGGCAATGAATATCAACCCAATAGACTGAACAGAAAATTGGAAATCTACAGTAGATAATACTTATCTCAAAATTATATATTTTAGTTGTATATTTATTTGTCTCAAAATCCATTGTGTGAATGCAACGAACAAGTGTTTGAAAAAGTATACAGCAACCAGATTTCTGCTGAGGTGCCACTGAATCTGTTTTGATTGCATGGATTTCTGCTTCGTCCACAGCTGTACCTACCAGCCTCAAAGGTACAGAAGGGTTTGGAAGAACTCCATTCACTCCAAAAGTCTTTTTTATTTTCTGGCATGCACCGTACCTGCACCTCATAGCAGGTGAATGGTTTCAGGTCACAGAATTCATGGTTCCCTTGGTCTAGATGAGTCTCCTGCAGCTGGGAATGGAACATACTCACATTGTAATGATATTAACATTCTATCCATCCATTTTGCAAGGTCACTCAAAGTGATCCAAGTCAAAACAAAAATTTCAAAAACCCTCCATCTAAATTTCCACCAGAATTGTAGCAAGTCTAATATTACATAATGAGAACAGGAGAGCATGCTGGACACAGATCCATATCATGTTTACTACTGGGACATAAATTAACATATAATAGCTAGAGCAAGAATTTGGGACGGGCCTCCAGGAAACTGCCTTCAGTTGGTTGAAATCCTAGACAAAGCCAGCTGTAGTTCAATGGAATGGATATTCAACAGGAAATCACAACTGATACAATGGGAAAGAAAAGCAATACATATACAAAACAGGTCACAAATGCAAGAGAGACTCACATAGGTCCATTCATGGTCTATAGATGCCTTATATCGAATAGCATAAGTGAGAGGTTGGTCACTATGCAATTCAGACCAGCGAGGGTTCTTCCATGTCACTATGGCTTCAGTGGAATCCAGTTCCACATGATCCAGTTCAGGAGGACAGGGCTTCACTGAAAAATGAGGGAAGAGCTTAATCATATGCCGCATCACTCAGCTTTACTCCTGACTGCCATACCTAGTGATAAAAGCATTGATCTACACACACACTTTGCACTAAACCAAAATATGGCTGGTTTATTTTTCATTGAGCAGTGTGCATTGAGCAGAGTTTCATTGAAATTATGGATGGTGGATTAGTGATGTGGATAGGGCTATTTTGGCATATTCAACAAACCAAAACCTTGGTTTAGCACAATGCATAAGAGAGGCATGGCTCTCTCATCATCTCAATGGTTTATTGAATAAGCCATAACTGACCAGGTTTTCACATTACTCTAAACTCACAAGCAAGCCAAGTGTGTCATAGCTTTTCAAAATGTGTGAAGTTAGTCAAGATATCTGTAGACTAAGGTATCTGTCCTATTGTAAATCCAATCCTTCTTATGGTTGGGACCCAGTCTTGAGCTTCCACAGTTAAACAGAGGTCTACTATCTGAAATGCCCCATGCAGTTCCTCAGAAGGTAAACAATTTAAAATGTTAACCTATAGACCAACTGACTGACCTGAGGGGACTGCAGAGATAAGCATGAGCATCAGTGTCAATACTGATGAGAAGAATGGCAATAGCCAAAGGGGCCAACACTTGGCCTGCACAAATAAGCAAGAAAAGCAAGGCACTTTTTTGAAGCAAAAATTGTTTGCCCAGATTAATTCTCAAAGCATTCCGGCTCTCTAATTTAGTTTCTCTAACCTATTTCGTCCAGGCTGAAGTTTAATTTCTTGGAGAGAGCAATCCCATCTACACTGCGAACTTCCATCCAGACACTGTATTTGTCTCCATGTGTCAGGTTCCTTCGTTCAATAACCAGCCAGTTCTGTCCCATCTGGGCTACCACGGAATACACCTGGTTAAGGGATCTTCAGAAAAATAAGGATGCACAGATATATCTAATAGTAGTTTATATAAATGGAAACTAAACATTTGCTATTCCTTATCCATCCAGCTATCCTGCCCAAGCAGGCATATTTCAAGACTTGCAAATAGGCACAAAGGCATTTTATTATAATAATGAACACCAAATAGATAACCACAGAACTGTTTGCCTAGTCCCCTCTAAGCCCTTTTTAAATTATTCTTCTTGACTTCCAAACATTTCTGCCTTTTAATCATTGCAAAACTGCAGATTTTGCCTGGTGTCAGAAATGATTCTACATGGAACTTTTAATTTTTAAAGAAAGAAAACCTAAACCAGCTAAATATTAAACACAAGCTTTTAAAGCACAATCATGATTTAGAAAGGATTCTTCCTTCTTTTCTGTGCACTAAACATCTACAAACAATTTAAATTTCGTATTCAAGGTTCTTACATTCTCCAGTGTGTCTTGGCTTTAATGAAAAGACTTCTGACACTTGCTATTTATGATGGTAGCTCCTATGTGCCCTTCTAAAAACCTCTGTTCAGAACTCCCAGTCCACTCAGATCAACTGACAAAGATAATTCTTGCATTATTTTTTCTTAATATCCCACACTTCTCCAATATTGGCCCTTCTAGACCAAAACCTTCATTCATTCACTATAAAATCCTAATAGGTTATTCTTTTACTCTCTGCAATTCCCTATACTTCCTAAATAAAGTCATTTAGCCAATAGATTACACTGGCCAACACAGGAGGCTCTGGTTGAAAAAGACAATGGCTTATTAATTTGGCTATTTGTACTATAAATCAATATAAAGGCTCACTAACAGCAGCACTTTGCCCAATTTTAGGCTCTGATAGTGAAGGACATAGGTGGTGTTAGCATTTTGAGATTCCCAGGGCAACCAGCTGCAGTTCACAAAGTTGCTGAGAAATGGTTGTAAACACTGTAGACCCATAGTGGCTTCTGGATTACCTGCAAACAGAGCAAAAATCACAAATCAGCATTCCAAATTATAGCGGTTGAAGACAGGTTTCATAGGAAGGGATTATAACTGCATGGAAGTTACACGTTTTACATTATTTTTTCATTGAAACAATTTTGCAAGATATGTACAAATTGTTGGCCTCAAATTACAAAATCAAACAGACCAAACCTTGAGATGGTGATTACTCAAGAACTAGATTTGTCCTGATGGCAGGGCAATAAACAGCACAGAGAGGTTAGTACAGGTAGTCCTTGACTTACAACAGTTCATTGAGTGACCATTCAGTGTTACAGAGGCACTGAAAAAAGTGACTTATGACCGTTTATCACACGACTGTCACAGCATCCCCATGATGACATGATCAAAATTTGGGCGCTTGGCAACCATCATGTATTTATGATGGTTGCAGTATCCCAGGATCATAAGATTACTACTGTATTGGTGACCTTTCCAGTTGGCTTCTGACAAGCCAAGTCAACGAGGGAAGCTGGATTCACTTAACAACTGTGTGAATCACTTAACACCTGCAGTGATTCACTTAACTGTGGCAAAAAAAGGTAGTAAATTGGGCATGACTATGTATTTTGTATGTCGAGGACAACCTCCTCTAGTTGTTCATTTACATGATCTGCTTCCCATGCAACTGATTGGCAAAGTATAGATATTAGTCTGAACAAATTAATATCCAACAGATGAATATGGGAACATGTTGCCTAGCACCATGGGAAAACCTTAATTCAAGTTAACTGAGGTGAGCATATTGCATAGTGTGAATATAGTTACTGTATAGGATATTAAAACTATAATTTTCAGAATCCTCCTAACCAAACTTTCCCTAAGTCTGATCTTTGTATTAGGACGACAACTTGAAAAATTCCTGGAGAGTATCTTGCAATCCTAACATAGCTAGAAGACAGACTTGGGAGAAAAGATCCCAGAAGTGGATGCAATAGGTTGGAAACAGTATGGAGTTCAATCCTGACCTGCTATTGCTTCAACAGCTGCCTGTCCTGGAAATCATTTTACCAATTAGCCACTAGCAACTGAGGGCCAATGGTCGGATGTCTCCAGGAATCTCCCTGGTGACACTCCAACAGCAGCAAATAAAAAAGTTCACTATTTATTTATAGCACTATTTATAATCAAAGACATAAGAAAAAAGAATCCAACATGCCTATAATGAAAACATAGGAGGAACAAGTGCCCTCCCTATTCTCATTTGAGAATAAGTGGCTAAGTAGACCTACTGTTAGAACAAGTTGGCATTTTTGGGCTACCCCAGGAAAGAAATTGTGCACACAGCTGAGAAAGCTAAAGATCTGGTTGAATTAAGACCTACTCTCACCTGATAAATTTCCACTGCTGTAGCAAAAGTGAGCATACCTATGCTGCATACATCTACCATATAGAGTGATCCAAAGATAATGAATCTATACGGATTGAATGTTCTAAACACAATTGAGTTGTGTTTGCATCTGATGGGATCTTGCAATGAACAATACACCTAAATGACCCCAAATTGCTGAGAGTCCCTGTTATCTTTTATCTGTTTTGTTACATAGAAACATCAATTTTAAACTTAATGAATGTTCATGTGTGTTATTTGTCATCCAAGTACTAGGATTATGATTATGATCATTCAAAATAGATGAAGGGATTACAGAGTCAAGAACTGCAAATGGGATTAATTAGGACAATCAGTACAAACAGTAGAAGCAGCTCATCATATGCACACTTATAAACTACCATCACAGGAAGATATCAAGGTATAAACATTTAAGGCTGTATGCCATATTTACTATCAGGAGAGGAATTGCTGCAGCACATCACAAAGGATGGGACCAGAATTTGTGTTCCCTCTTTTTAAGAATAGCACTAAACCTATTTAAATATAATGCAAATGTGTTGTCTACATTCAAATTCTGAAAAATTATGAAATTTTGCTACCAATTTTTAGTTGTCAGAAGGAGGGAGGCCTCTAGAGGTCAAGGTTATTGTTCAATCCCTTTCAGGGTATTACTGAAAATGAAAAATAATGTGTTCATTTAAAGAACATTTAGAACACGTTCAGAGCAAACTGAAGTTGGATGAATATAGTTAGAACATACCCTTTGCTAATCCCTGCCTTCTCTACTTTTTTCCAATTATCAACAGACCAAATGTCCTTTCCCGGACTTTCAACCCTAAGACATAAGACTTTATTCCCGAGGTTATCTTTTCCAGTTATTCCAAACATGAACCCTCAATATAGTTCTGCCATCACTCAATGAGAAAGCAAGATAAAGGTCAATGTATTGAAAATGTTTCCCCTGCTTCACTACTACTTTGAAGGCCTGTTCTGGGCTCTTGAAAGATTTCCTGTGTGGGTTTTACAGAGCAAAAGGGACAAGAAGGTGACACCAACGACAGCAGCCGTCACCACTAAGTGCAGGTCTACACACATTTGACATACACACTCCTCCTCCTCCTTGTTGTTTTCTTGAAGTTATGCAACCATGTCTGGCCTGATTGCTTCTCCTTAGCAGACAGAGAGCTAAAGATACAGCTCCACAAATCCATCAAGATCCCTAATCGCAAGTAACTGAATTCTCTTACCATTGGAGCCCTAAATGGCTGCAGTCTCAGATCCCAGATCTGAGACATGGTGCCTAAGTTAAAGAGATCCAAAATGGGATATGGCTTAAACCCTCAGTTAAAAAGAAGTACACAAAAGTTAAAAATGGTTCAGCACACATGTTCATTAACTGTAGTTAACAGCCAAGAATATTGTCTTTCTTCAAGAGCATGCATGAGGTTTTTTGGAAACACAGCTATTGAAGCAAAGCAATTTCCCTTTTACCGTTTTTCAGCCCCGCGATCTTGAAGACTAGAAGTAGCAACCCTGCAACATTCCATCTGTTTCTCATGATGCCAACTCAATTAGTGATATGATGGAGAAGCACCTGGAGAAATGCTCAGCCTCTGCAACATTAAAAGAAAATTATTCCATCTTGAAGTTATTAAATTAACAGAGCAGAAAATAAAACATTTTCAAACCCAAAGAGTTTGAGGGTTGAGTAAAGGTTGGGAAAATAAGTTGGGAAGGAAGGAAGGTTTGGAAAACTATTGTGAAGCTCATTGTTGGCAATATGCTACAAGGATTGAAAAGCTACCGTATATTGTTCAAAAGATAAGCAGTGGGGGAAATAAGAATGGTTCCCTAGAATTTCACGCATGCTGGGTGAAAACTCTTATTATAAAACTCTAATAAACTCAGTGGGCTCACCATTTTATCCATTCTACAGCTATTTGAATAAATTTCAATAGACTAAATTTATACATTAGATTGGTTTACAAATCTTAATAGCAGTTTGTGAATCCAACTAAGTCAGAGGTCAGCAACCTGCGGCTCTGGAGCCGCATGTGGCTCTTTCACCCCTCTGCTGCAGCTCCCTGTCACTCAAAGTATGTGTTACAAATGCCAATGTGCGACACTCGCCAGCATGCGATTTATTGAGCTTTTCAACCCCTGGTAGGCCAACCATGGATAAATCCAAGAAAAGAAAAGTTTCAGAAGAAAACGGAATGTTTAATTCAACTACATATGCTACTTTTATTTTATTATTTATTTATTTAATTTGTATACCACCCTTCTCCAACAGGACTCAGGGCGGTGAACAGCCATGGTAAAACATAACATATAAAATTTAAAAGCAGTTTAAAAACATTAAATAATTTTGTGGCCGCTCAAGAAATAGTCAGGCACGGGTAGGGTTTTGTGGCTCCCAATGTTTTCTTTTCTGTGGGAAACGGGTCCAAATGGCTCTTTGAGTGTTTAAGGTTGCAGACCCCTGAACTAAGTCAATCAAAGCAAATAATGTGAAATATTAACCCAACACACTGGATTATTCAGGAAAATATAGGGAAAGCAGCTGTGCATTAGTTAGTTACATATGGAGTAGATACATGAAGTTTCCCCAGGCCATTTCTCTGACTGTGGTTATGTTCAGACACTATAGTATCTGCCTTATTCACATAATGTTAAGGTGTAGTTCTTTTCACCATATTAGGTAAACCAGTCATTTTTAAACTGATTTATAATTTAAGCATGTTGCATGAAGCACTTTATAGAGTCTTTGCACTGCTACTACAATGCAGATAAAATATTTTATTTATTTAATCAATTTAGAGATTACCCAACTTCTAACCAGGCTGAAAAAGTAATGAAAGGAGTTCATAAGCCACCCAAAGACATAAACAAAACCACCATTCAAAAGGGGCTCAACCCATCAATCTGCCCCATAGCCTGGGAGAATAGTCAGGTCTTCAATACTTTCTTGAATAGGATGGGAACATAATCTAGATCTGGATTTGAGAAACTGGTTGATAGGATGTATTCCTTATGTATGAAATGCCTAGAAATCACAGGGCAACTTACAAGGCTAATAAAAGAAAGAACGGGAAAAAGAGTGCCAGGAATCTGTTTCGGGATGGGATGTGGACTTTTCCAGAACAGTTCAAATCAAACTGACTTGAGGATCTCTCCTAGCAGACAGGCAAGGCAGACAATTGGCGGATGTAACATCTGCGGATTTACTTTCTTCTGAAGGAATAGCGCGATCTTCCCTATTGCCTTTGTGTACATTCGAAGCAGCCTCTACGGATATCCTGAGGCAGCGCTACAACCCTCAGTTCATCTGGCTCCAATGCTGCGTGCTAATCGCTAATTGCTATAAATGCCTTCCAGCGAGAGAAATCAACGTCCGGACCGGAGATCGCATAAATTATACAATATACGAATACAGAGAGGAGGTCCCACAATGAAACTCTCCCCCCCCCGCTCCGTTGTCATCACCCCATTCCGCGTGTGACAATACTGGGGTTTCCTAGAGGTTTCTGCTCTCTGGTTCTCTCTCCCACTTGCACTTAGTAACTCCAAACAGTCCCTTTCCTTGAAGCCATTCATCGGAAGCTGACTTTAAGCGGAAAAGATTCGCACAAGGAAAGTTCCCAATTGCTTGGGAAGACCCGAGAGAAAGCGGAAAAACTGGGACCTCGCTCCCGCTCAGAGCATGCAGAAAATCCCAAGCAAGTTCTCCTCCAAGGGAGAAGGAGCTCCCGCCCACCCCCACCCCCCGTTGGCTCACTTACCACCATCAGCTGCCAGCGCTCCCCATCCCGAATGGTTCCCAGCACCGCAAAGAAAAAACAGTCGCGGCTTGACTCAACTCTTTCCGGAGAGAGCCGTGCGAGGCATGTGAAGCTACCCACGTCGGTCCCTGACCGTGAACGCCGCGCGCCGCGCTTGCTCCGCCCTCGGCCCAGCGACGCGGGGAGGGGAGGGGAGGGGAGGGAGGGTGTAGAGGGGCGCCCGCTGCTTCCGAAAGAGGAGCCCACGGCTCTCAGGTGATTTCCATTTCCTCTTCTGATGCAGATCTTGTTGATCACCCAGGGTTGAGACGAAAGAGGAAGCTGCCTGCCTTCACCCTGCACGCTTCCCAAAGACCGAAAAGGAGGAACGCGAGACCGGCGTAAAAAGAGGAACTGGGACGGCTGACGAGAAGCCGCACAGGCGGCGGGATGACTCACGCTCTGGGACTTTAGGCTCGGGATGCCGGAGACCGCAAGACAGATCATTAGAGCAACCGGAGGCGACGCCTTTCGAGGGCAGACCGACTTCACCCCGTCCCAGCAATAATATTGCTTTTGTCATTAAGCAAATATAACCGGCTAACAGCTGCTACACGAAGAAAATAAGGGCCAATACTCGCCGGGACCCGTCCCCGACCCTCCTTTGTCACACGCTATTCAAAGTTACTCTCCGGTGACTGGATGCAGATTCCGTCGCTCTTCCTCTCCCCTTTATTAGTTGCCATAACTTCCAGCTTTGGAGGCATGAGATGGTGATCTGATGTAAGAAATAAACGGCCTGCCCTGTGTTAGCCGGATTCAGTGCTCTGTTCTTGATATCTCAATAGAGGTGGGAGATATATTTATGTCTATTCGCTGCAATTAAATCAATTCCTCCCGATATTTGGATGCATCAATAAGGATCTTGCATAGGAGTATATCCGCTACATTTATGCATGAGTTACTGTCCCTGCTTATTTTTCTCCATTTGGTTGCAAGAATGAACTGGGTCTCCCATTTTTAACTGGGGAAAAATGTTATTGGAAGGACAACTCGTTGTCTGTTAGCTTTAGTTGTTAGTTCTCTAGTCTTCCACCTCACACACACAAAGTTTGATATATGTGACTTGAATCATAGAATCATAAGGTTGTAAGGGACCCTGGAAGTATTCTGGTCACAAACCCCTGCCCAGGGCACAAGACCTAATACCATCCTGAACAAATGATTGCCCAATCTCTTCTTGAAAACTTCCAGTAATGAAACACCCACAACTCCAGGAAGCAAGCTCTGCCATTGATTAATTATTCTGTCAGGAAATTCCTTCATAATTTCAGGTTGGATCTCCCTCTGATGAACTTCGGCCTATTGCTTCTTGTCCTGTTTTGGAGAAAAAGTTGACCCCCTCTTCTCTGTGACACTCAGCCCCTCAAGCACGGAAAGACAATTATATCTCACCTAACCCTTCTCTTTGTTATACCTAATTCCCTTAACTGTTTATCATATGATTTGGCCTCCAGACCCCTTGTCATCTCTCTTGCTCTTCTCTATACTCTTTCTGGGGTCTCAGCATTTTTTTTGTATCATGGTGACCAGAACTGAACACCATATTCCATGTGTAGCCTCACTAGTGCAGTATAAAGCAGTTCTATTGCTTCTCAGGATCTTGATGCTTCTGTGGATACAGCCTAGATCTTATTGGCCTTTTTGGCAGCTGTAGCACACTGCTGACTGATACTTAAGTGGTGGTCCACCAGGACACCTACCGTAGACCCCTCTCAGAGTTACTACTGTTGAGCTAGGTACCGCCTATTCTACAACTCTGCATTTGGTTTTTCTGCCTAAGCGCAGGACCTTACTTTTCTCACTACTGAACTACATTGCATTGGATAGGGCCCAATACTCAAGTTTATCAAGATTCTTCTGAATCTTGAATCTATCTTGCTAAATGTTAGCAATTCTCCCATCTTGGTGTCGTTTGCACATTTGATTAGTTCCCCTTCTATCCCCCTCATCTAGGTCATTTATGAAGATGTTGAAGAGTACTGGGCCTAAGACAGAACCTTGAGGTACCTCACTACATGCTTCCCTCCACATAGATTGAAGACTACACACTGTGTGGTTGGTCAGTTAATTGTGAAACCATCTGGTGGTGGTACTGTCTATCCCACATTGTTCTATTCAGGGGTGGGTTCTACTTACCTTTACTACTGGTTTGCAATGGGATCGTTGCTTCTGCACATGCGCAGCAGACTGCTGATGACAACATCCAGGGCCGTGGGTGGGGCCTCCCACCAGTTTTACTACCGGTTCTTGTGAACCGGTCCGAACCTGGGGCAACCCACCACTGGTTCTATCATACCAAGAAGTAGGCTGTGATTTACTTTGTCAAATGCCTTACTGAAATCCAAGTATACTATTATCCACTGCATTTCCATGAACCATTGATTTAGTCACTTTATCAAAGAAGGTAATAAGGTTTGACTGGCATTGGCATTGGTCTGATAGTTTTTAAACTGGCTGTTTGATTTGTGGCCATGATTACATTTTATGACAGTGAACACTGTAAATAGCCAATATTACCCTTGCACTTAATATGTATGCCAGAGAATCAGTGCGGGTGACTGTATGGTTAGCAAATGTCTTTGCTCAGCTTAGAGATGGTTTCTAAGCCTGGCTGTTCTCAAAAACTTTTTGTGTTGAATTATTTTGGGAGAAAACCACCAAGGAATCCCTGAGCTTTAAAAAAAAATCGCAGAAGAAAACACCCAAGCAAAACAATGTACTTCCACTTGGAAGCCGATTGATCCTGCTATTTTATACCATCTGTTAACACCGAAGTAAGTGAAAAGGCTTGGCGAGCCCATGGCTAGGAAGCTTTTGTTTTGCAGGGGATTGTGAAATTTAAATATTAAAGTTAGGGGCAAAATGGAGGAAGGATTGCTATGTACAGAATGTGAGGTCTTGCAGATATAAACAATATAAATTTATAAGTTTATTGAGCATATTTAATATTAGATTGTCACAATAAGAGGCACATGCCACACATGTATAATACATGACTGCCAAAACACAATAGGGCCTGGGGTGTAAGGCAAAGATTAGAAATGGAAATGTGTTTGGGACAAGAAGGATACCTACACTTTTAGCTACCTAGTTATATTTTACATTTACCGTTGCTTTGCAAGTGCTGAAAATTAGTAAGAAATACATTTTTTTTCATCTGCAGAATCCAAATAGAGTTGCAGGTTTGTGCCCATCTGGAGTTCCACAAATGCACAAAAAAATTATAGAGGGGAAATCTGAAGCTCTCTCTAGCAATTGGCCAATTCTTTTCCACAATATGTGCATCCTTTTGATCTATCGGACCACCACTCTCTTATAATTCTGGCTAAGAATAGCATGAGTTGTAGTCTCACATATGTAGATTAGTGGGAAAACTGGCATATACAATTCAGTATACCCCACCAGTCGGTCTTCCTTTATTAGCCCAGTTGCAGAAGAAAATACAATATTAATATGATTTACATTTTCTCAAAGTTTGGTATTATGGCAGATTGTTCCAGTTAAAATTGCACACAACCACTCTGAGAAATGTCACTGGCTTTTCCTTAAACTTTTCCAGCTCTTCTCAACATTTTTTAGGATGTTTGCAGGAAGATAAACTTGTTTAGTTGCTTGGAAATGTTGTGCAAACATCACGTAGTGTTTCTAATTTGAGAATTACTAATGCCATCAAAATAAAACAAATCTATGTTGAGTGTCCCCATTAAACCAAACTGTTCTGAGTCAACATAGTGCATCTCATTAACTTGTTTCGTTTCATTTTTTTCCTTTTCAGCTTTGCTTTATGGTCATTTTAATCTCAGAGCAGCAGACTTAGTTCCTCTCTAAGAGATCAAATGAATAACCATGGAAGCACCACCACCCTGAAAGCTGTTGGTTGTGAGACTAACTTGAATACCAACCCAAGAATTAATTAATTAAATTTAATGCTGGTGTGTGACCATAATAAAAATGGGTTGATTATTGAATTTGTTTGCTGCCCATCTCACCATGAGTTCATTTGTAAATTATCAAATGTGAGAGAACATTTGTGACCCTCGCCAACACTCAAAAAGCCATTGCATTATACTTTTCCACCAGGCATTCTCTCCTTTTGCCCTGAACCTTCCTTGGTGCCCAGCCATTCCAGCAGATCCAGCTCTACTAATTTCAACTGAGTGGAACAGGAGACTAGGGAATGTAACTGTCCATTCTGGTTGTGATTGAGGCTCATTGATGAAGTTACAATTCATGTAAATAGTGTTAACAAGGCTTTCATGTGAGACCTGCGGAGCACTTTATAAGTAAGTATAACCATGTAAGTGGGATCCATAGGCCTCTTTGACAATCAGTGTCTACTTTGATGAAAGGCATGGATGTTTCATGGAGGAATTCATGTTGCATATGCGTGCATGCTGGTTAATAAATCTTCAAGCTATAGCATACTTCCTTGTTTTATTTTATTTTTTTAACCAAGGAACACATGCGGTAAATGAAAACCACTACCTAACATAAAGAACTGATCTCACGCTTGCTGCAGCCCCACTTGCAACAGGCATTGCTCAGGCTTTCCATAACATCTCGGGCTCCGCGATCCAAAGGCCAGGGCTCTTCGGAGAGGGCATAGCTCTGCCGACCTTGCCAGCTCCCATAATTGTCAGAGGGATCCTGTTGGGAGGAATGCACTGGATTCCATTCATTGGATAATGATGTTGCATCAAATGCTTCTGCAGGATCTCCCCCAAGGAGAGCACTAAGATTTCCTACAATGAGAAGATAACACTGGAAAGTAGGGAGATCAGCGGCAACATATTGTGCTGAATAAATGGACTCTGTGCTAGGAAGTCAATTGAATCAGAATATCTTAAAGTAATAAGCATTAGTTGAAGCTGAATAAGCATTTAGGCAACACCCACATTTAACATCCTCTACAGAAGTAGCAAAACCTACATTTTTCAAAACACCTTTGGAAAACAAATGCTTTGTAGGCTGTCTTGGTGAATTGTTATTAACTTCATTGGTAATATCTATGTTTTGTAAATAAACAAAATATCTGAAATAAACCTGAAGCAAAAGGCTGAGCAAATTCTAAGATTAGCAGATATTCAGATGTTACCATTCAGATTTACCTTTTTCAAACAGAGCTTGAGTCTCAGTATTTCAAGCATCTTTTTTGAAGAAGGGAAGAAGGTGAGCAATGGTTGGATAGCAGTATTTTCTACATATCAAAGTCAATGGAAGTGAAGATGAACATTGGTTAGTGTAAACTGCAGGATTGGGCCTCAGAACATTGGTGGGAAAATGCCATGTGTCAATTTAATTGCCATCTGATCTCTTTGGGCAACCAAAAGCATATTGAAAGGGGGGTGACATTAGAAGGAAATGCTTGCAATTTAGTTTCCCAGACAGGGATGTTTAACCTGTCCCTTGTCTACAGCTTTGTAATTATATCCTCTTTCTCCAACCCCAATCACTTTCAGAGTGATTGAATAGAGACAGGAAAGAGTGAGAAGAAATCGGCTAAAGCTTAAGAAAGGATTATGGTATCTCTAACTGAAGAAGGGATGCTACTTTGATGTGCCTTGGTTTCTGCATTTTTCTTGACATATACGCTTTTTTCGGTACCAGATAAGATGTGTTTCTCAAATGGTATCCAAGCTTTGTACCTAAAAGGTTCCACATTTGGTTTCCAGCATCTCTTGGAAGAGCAGAAAAGACTCCTGTTTTCTACAGGAATGCCTTCTACCAACCAAGTATTGCATTGTCCATTAGTAAGTTTTCCATTAGGGAAAACCTAATACAATAAAAGTCTCCTTATATTTTTATATGATTCCAACTGGACAGATTATACCTACTTTTAAACCCAATCTAGCATTCTTGGGAGGGTATGGTGACAAATCTCATGTAGCAAGGTATTTACTGACTGGGGTAATAGGAATTTAACCCAACTTGCACAAACTGAGTAATAAAAGTTAATTAAATTTGTTGGTGAATGGCAGGGCAGCATCCCTGAATGTGTCTTCTCACAGCTACCCTTTGATGGAAATACCCGAAGAGCTATGAATCAAAGAAGCTGAGCCAAAGATAATGGAGCAAAGGGCTAGAAATTGCATGCCCCTGCCTTAGTGCAGGAGCTTCTTAGTCCTTTCCTGTTCTGTAACTCACAAGCATTATATGCTCTTGCAAGTTTCCACTAACCAGCTGCATACAAACTCACACAGGAAGCAATGCAAAGACAGCTTCAAATGTATGGCACAGTAGTGAACCAAACAGCAATCCTGAGCTGATGGCCATGCTTATAACAACAACATAATTTTGGTTAGTTCTCAGGCCAGTCCAATTGTCAGCTCCTCCCAATTCCACCATGGTCAGAGCATTCTTTCCATCTTTTTATAATTCCTTTTTAAAGCAGCAGTTTGTGAATGAAAAGCTGCTCTTCCCTTCATGGCTTTCTTCTTGCAGTTCTTAGCTGGGAATTTTAGGAACTGTAATTCCCAGCTAACATAGTCCTGCATAATTGGAATCACAGTCCTATTCTGTTTGGAGGATATCACATAAGGTAGAGCTCTACCTTAACTAGAGTCTACCTCAAGTTTGCCAACACCCCCTTTGCTCACCTGCTCGTCTCCAGCGGGATCCTCCACAAGTGAAGATGACAGCACGGATAAACTCCCTGCCACACAGCTTGACACCATAGGGGGGTGTCCTAGCTTCACTCACCAGCCATTTCTCTGAAAGCAGCACTCCAAGCATCAGAGCCAGGAGGAACTTGGGCATGGCTGAGAGCTCTGCAAGACAGACAGGAATTGGGTTTCCTGCGACAGCACAACTGCCTTTTGCCAGCTTCTGTGTAGCTGAGTCCCTTTTATATCTCCAGGTGGATATGAGCATCTTTCCGGCCATCTCCCCAATTAACAGCAGGAGGGGATAGAGACCTTTCTTGGTGGAGGAGAACTTGGAGATGTACACTAATCAGAGATAACCTTTTCCTTGTTATCAGCTGGGCAGATAGGGAATTGTGTTCAGCGCTTACCTGGCCTTTCCTGGCAGGGACAGACATGTAGGTGCATACAGAGAAAATGCACAGCAAGACATGCAAATGCTGATAATGAGCGGGAGAGGAACATAGACAGAACAACTCCCCGAGACTCCCCACACTATATGAATTTAGAAAACTTTTATGTCCCAAATATATCAACGGAAGCAGGAAGGCAGACAAGCACGGTTCCCACTTTTATTACATCTCCTAGTTTACCCTGATCAGCTTAGGCGTTTGTCAGGAGTAGCTGGGAATTATCCCCAAATTGCCTGCAATGCACTAGGATAGAGACAGTTCCTGTTGTACTACATACTTCTGTCTAACCTCAGATCTATCCTCAACAGTGGTGCTCCAGAGCAACTTTCCCTTGTATTTGTGTTGTTTATTGGATTTATCAGGTCATTAAATCAGGAGGCTTAAGACATTGTACATAGTTAAACTCCGTTAAAATACAATATAAAATCAAATAAGTTATGGAAAGAATACTTACCAACTACCAATCATCCATTAGTCTGAGTCAGAAATTGTCTTAATCTCTGGCCTCTTTCAATAGCTACTTTTTCTTGGTTTTTAAAACAAAGGTGGAGTTATATCAACCATCTCTGGGTGGGGATGGTATTCCAGGGGGCTGGACTGGACATGACTCTGGTGTTTCACAAGATGTAGCTGTGTAGTCACTGGGACCTGAAGCATACTGTGCCTTTATCTTATATAGGAAGGGCAGAGATAATAGGAGAAAGTTGTTCATTAAAGAACCAGGCTTTATAGATGACAATCAATACCTTGAATTGCATCCAAAAGCTCACTAGTAAACAGTGTAGCACATGGAGCAGAGGTGTCACCTGGGCATATTGAGGTGCACCCATAACAAAATAGTCTTATGACTATTTTAATTTAGACAATGATCTTCAACAGACGCTCCATGCAGAGGACATTGTGAGAGGTATCTAAGGCATGAATAACTATGAGCAAGTACTCCTGATACAAAAAAGAGTACATGAGATAGATCTAGGAAAATGGCTGCTGCTTGCTCTTTCTACAAGAGCTGTGAGTTCATTTGATATCACAGTTTGGTCTGGGGAAGTGCAACCACATCACAATTAAAAATGGAGGATCTCCAACAAAGCTGATCTATAAACCCCAAACTATTCTGCATTGTTAGGTTTGAGCCTCAACATTTTTTTCTTTTCAGACAGGCAGAGAGCACATCAATAGCATCACTTGGTCAGCCAGGGGTCAAGATGTACAATCTGATGATTTCATATTAGACAGATATCTGACACCATGCTATTGGATGACCTTCCTCATGGATCTCATGTAGATGGTAGATGGAAGAGTTTTGAGTCTTAAGAAATATCAGAAATCCCAGCCCTAGGGCTAGATCTCTCTCTTTTTACCAACACTGAATTCAGGCAAGTTATTTTAGCTCATAAGGCAGAAAATGTCAACATGCAGTAAGTTTCTAAGGGGAAGACGGGATGGAAGACTACTTGAATTATTCCTTTTGTTCAGATATTTTTCAAAGTTGATAGGCAGTGACAAGTTTTCTGTTCCTTACATTGGCCCAACAGACTTCCATGACTAAGAGAGAGAGTAAAAATGCAGCTTGTACAACTCTCTGCCTTACTATGATGATCCTGGGACATTAAACCTGAAATTCTTCAATGCTGCTTGTCCAATTGTAAAAAAAAATGGGGACTGCAGAAGAGCTATTGCCTGGCAGATGGTTTTAGGCTGAATTAGAATAAATCCATTCCTTAACATCAAAAGTATAGATTTCTTTCCATCTATTTAAAATAATTCTCTTTACCAAGTCCAAGGCTTGGTACAATACTTCATGAAATGTCTTTATGCAAATATCTTCCACCTTATGTTGGCAGCAGGAACAGCACTGAACTTTGCTTATCTCTCCAAATTCTGTCCTTTCAGCCTGCTAGAGATAGCACAGAGTTTTCTTTATTTTGTGATAAGAAGACTGCCGCGGCCTCTTCCAAGCGTATGCCATAGCAAATGCCATCACAGATAAGCTTTGGCCCAAGTGCTGAGTAACTAGCTTGCTCTCTGCGGCATGATAAAAGTAACATTTCAGACAAATGACAGATATAGACCCTTCTTAATATCAGGGCAAGGCAGTGAAGTCAGAGGGATATGGCCTCTATGCCTTTGTTGAAAGCTTATGGGAAATAGGTTCTTTGGATTTACCTAATAGACACCTTTCTCTCTTTGGGGTTTCTTTGTGGCTTCATTATAGAGCTGAACAGTAACTTGGATTTTTTTTAAAAAAATTAAATTGGACTTTTACGAAAACTAGGAATTGACTTTTGTGTGGCAAAACTTCCAAATCAGGTTCAGTTAGTACTACTAAATTACTAGCAAAAATCCAGACAACTTCTAGATGGAAGCAAACAGATATCATTTTGCTGTCATTTAGAGGTTGTTGTTCTAATTTAGTAGCCTTTTATTCACAATTCAACTATGGAGGTAGTTTTATGTTTTTGGGTGTGTAGCTGATGAGCAGGTTAGCTTGGTTGCTCAACAGTGAGACACAAGCGTGCATAGCAGGCAAGCACAACTTCCTTTCCCTATCCTTACCACTTTCTAGAGAGGGACGATTGAAAGCATCCTACTGTATGGTATTGCTGTGTAGTTTGGAGTTACTGTTTCAGACAGGAAAGCTCTGCAGAGAGGTGAGGATGGCAGAAAAGATAGGAAGTTCACTTCCTTCTATCCAGGACATAGCATACAAGCAATGCTTGAGTAGGGTCTGCAGGATTGTCTGCTCAAGGAGCAGGTTGTGGCCTGCACTGTTGTAAATTGTAAGCAAATTTGTGCCTCTGCACAAATTTATCCTTTTGCTAATTGTACCATTTACTGGATCAGGAGATTTTATGCACAGTCAGATGAATGATGATGATGGTGGTGATTTGGTTACCTTATATGTGGACTATTGTAATGTGTTTCACATAAGACTGCCCTTGAAGACCACTCAAAAGCTGCAGGTGGTTCAGAACACAGCATGGCTCAGTGTGCCCATCTAACAACTAGGCTTTCAGGGACAATTCAAGATACTAGTTATCATAAGGCCTGGCTATTTATGACAATCTGTTTATCTCCCATAGCATCTGCCCATCCTGTTCAATCTGACAGAGTTTGCATACTCCAGGTTCTTTCACTATAACAATGCCATCTAATGGGAGGTATGCCTTCTCTATCAGTGCTCCTGCCTCTAAAACAACATACATCCTGACAAATGTCTACTCCTTCCCTGACTTTGTTAAAAAATAAAAAATTTCAAAATGTTGTTTTTCTACCAGATGTTGAGCTAACCTGAGCCCTCAAAAGTTATGGTATGACAAACCTTCTGTACTGCTTCATTTTTGAATAATTATTTTGATTTGTTGTATGCCAGTCAAGAGTTGAAATATTATGAAACAATATAGATTGGATGACTCCTGTTCTTGTTTCTCTATTTACTTTTATTGATCACACTGCACAGATTCCCAAGGACTGGGCTAAGCTAACATTGTGCCCAAATGATGTGCACATGACACTTGCCTACAAATTACAACCTAATAGCCTGTTAAGCATAATAAGCAAGCTAATAAACTAATTGATTGGATTGATTCAGAGCATATATTAAATGATGAGCAAGCAAGCTTCAGGTCTGGATACTCTATCTATGGACATGTCTTGGCCGAAAGATATACATCTGGCTGAAAAATATACATTTCCTTTTCTTTTATTTTGAGTTATTGAGATGTATTCTGTGTTTGGGGGGGTGGCTGCACCAAGGGAAGCTCATTCAATCTCATTGTACCCGTGTTGTGCATTGACAATAAAGATTTGATTTGATTTGATACATCTAAAGCAGACTCTACACTGTACATTTGTTAATTTCAGGTCTGTGTTTGGTCTAATTCCCAGATTAAACTTTTGCTCATGCATAAACTATATAAGAACTCTAGAGTCAAAGTCTGCTGCAATATGCAAGGCCACATACCAAGAAGATTCAATTTTACAGAGGAATGAGGCAGAGATGTATTCTAACTGCTCCACTGTTTAATTTATATATAAACTCACTTCTGGCCAAAATGAACCAATTAGAACACCACCTTCCAAAATTAGCAAACACGCATATTGCCACCCTGCTATATGCAGACTGCATACTACTTCTGTCACAATAAATTGGACTCAAATGAGCCCTGAATGCCTTGACCAGCTATTGTTCAGAGGAAGTTTTCGAAACCAATCACAGCAAGACCCAAATCCTGATTTTTACAAAGAGACTTAAACCGCATGCCCGGAGGATAAATGGCTGAAATATTGAAGTGAAAATCTTTAAATATTTGGGCATGATTTTCCATAATTTCACCAAGTGCAGAGCAGTCAGAGAGTCCCACTGGGCAAATCCATCTTCCTGTCAGCATTTCATTTTCTAAGGAAGCCTGGTTTTTAACTTTCACTTTTTGAATTTATTGTTTTATTCTCCTTTTTTGTCTTTAAATGTTGACCAGATGGTTGAAAGCTGATTTGTTTCAACTCCCTGCTGGACTTCTTTCTTTTTCCTTCCCTCTGATTTACGTTGTTATTTTGAATAACCATAAGGAAACATGGCGTGATTTAGATGGTGAAGTGCTTTCATTTGATTTACATTATTATTGGACTCTCACTACATAATTTTTATATTTTTTGTATTTGCATATTCAGAGTTTATTTCTTTTGATTTTTTTTTAAATCTTGGTTCGAAATATCCAGAAAATGTATTTCTTGCTTCCTTCTGCTTCAGTGTTCTTTGTTCCCTGACCATGTTTCACAGAATAATAATGTATCAGATTACAGACAAGCCACCTAGACTGAAGTCTACAAAAAGACTTTGGTAACATGCAACTTTTAACTGAAAATTTAATTTTTTTTTTTTTTTGATGAGATGATAATGCCCATGGAAAATATGCAGAGGCATTTAGTTTTGGATAAATTAGGTTCATGAAAGGACTCTGATATGAAAGTTGCAGTCCAAAGAGATATGGACTCCACAGCCAGAGAACTAACTGAGCCAATCTTATGTGTCTCTTTGAAGTTCATTTCTTTACAATACTAGAAGCCTGACTGAATGGGAACGTGACATTTTTTCTTTCCTACGAGGATTGAGATTAGAGAATGGATTTATTACACCTAACTGGAAGTCACTTCTGTATGGACTTTGTTGGGAAGATAAGATGCACTGTGGAGCCTGAATGTAGTATATTTGATTAGATAACAATTGATAAGAGATAGTATTAAGAAAGAAATATAGATATTTGATCCAGGATGAATTACTTTTAACTTTTGTGATGATTTGGGATAGGTAAAATGCTGTGGCAAATTTTTTACAGGTGGATTATAACAGTTGGTTAAGAGAGTTTTGTAACCTTAACCTTGTCTTTTTTATTATTGTTCTTCCTGTTTTTGTTATTATTGTTGTTCTTCCTGTATTTTGTCATTAATATACTATATAGAAGACAGGTCAATAATTTGCAAATAGATTTACTAGTTTAAAAATTTGGGGGAGGGGCTGTTTCACAAGGGATAGGAACCAATATTGTAGTAATATATTAATCAATATTCAATTAGGGGGATAACAATTTTTTATTGTCTATTTTTTCGTGTCACCCCTCTCCCGTTTTGGGGGTTTTGTATTTTAATTTTCTTTTCAATAAAATAAAAAATAGGAGGAAAAGACTATTAAAAATGCTAAAAATATACAGTGGCTACAATCCAATTTTTCTATTCCACCAGAGAAGTGCAGTATATACCAGCAGCACTGAAGCTATTTGCAGCACAGGTTGTGTACAATTACTCTTTGGTGCCTAGCTAGAACCTTATTTCTCTTTTTACTCCTCTCAAAAAGGTTCAAATCCAAATTTCTAAGGATCATATTGCAGGTAGCCCCCTACATTCCTAATGCAATTCTAATGGAAGGCAGTTGTTCAAGGTTGAAACAGATGCATGGATTTCCATTATAATAACACACTGACTGAAATTACTGTTCTTCCCCATCAGTCCACTTTTAGGGAGGATAACTATAAACCAACATAGATTAGAATTATTTCATTTAAACTCCAACATGTCAGTCTCTCCAAGGAGGAACTCCTAACAATGGGCTACAACGTATTAAGGATCAGGAAGTCAAACAGGATCGGTCTGTTTTACCCAAGAATGTTTTCTTGAGCAGACAGCCTCCCTTCACAAACCAGCAAATTATCATATAACTGTCTCTAAATTAACTGTAGCTTATTATAGTGCTTTGCCCACAACAGTTTTGGAGAGCCAATATAAAAAAGTCCCACATGAGTTGAGACTGTGTCCGGTGACAAGGGGGCCACTGAAATCACAGCTCATGCCCTGCAGTATTGCACCCTCTGTACGGTCTCAAAGACTCATTTTATAACACCTTACCTGACAAAATATCCTGGAAATTCTGATCCTTTTTATATACAACTACTATTATCGGATTGGTAAAATACAATTTCTTTGAATGTAGCTACGGTAGGTTTTACTATACTGTCTGTAAAATTAGGCAGATCTTGGTGATCCATTGATGATTTCACCATCAAATATAATACATTACTATGTCCTGTTATGTCCTGTTTTATTGTATCCGTAAATTTAATTTTTATTCTGGTCTGTGACCCTAATAAAGATTGACTGATAAGAATTTGATACCAGTCTCCTAAGCACTTGTCATGTTAAATGCTTTTTAACATTTTTGCCATATGCTAAATAAATAAATAAATGTTCTTGGAATCCAAAGTTTTCAGGTGAGAAAATCTCTCAGTACACTATGATCAAGTACTGAAATGTTACTTGGGTGAATAAAATCTAAAAAACACTGTGAGGAATTAAAGCATATCTATATTTTAAAGTTAACTTTCTTTCAGTCTTCTATTAAAAAGGATATATATATCCTATATATCAACTATAGATCACCTAGAAGAAAAACATGACATAAAGGAAAGACACTGAAGGGACAGGAAGGAAAAGCTGGCAAGGGAAAATATAAGTTCAGTTGTAATAGCTTTGACTTAGTTTCCATAGGCTATGAGCCTTTTTTCAAAGAGCAAATATGATGCAGGAGTCTAAATTATTTAATCTCTCTCTTCATTGCTTTCAATTCTTCTTTTAAGACAGATTTTCAGACTGTGATAAAGTTGTCTGTATACTCACCTCCAGATAGTATAGTATTTGCTTTCAAGTATGAAAATTGTTAATATTCCTTTCTCATTGAACAAACAGTAAGTAATGACACTTCGGTAAGAAAAACAAACTGTATAGGTATAAACTAGGAGAAACCTGGCTTAATGCCAGTAACTGTGAGAGGGATCTTGGAGTCCTAGTGGACAATCACCTAAATATGAGCCAACAATGTGCGGCAGCAGCCAAAAAAGCCAATGCAATCCTAGGCTGCGTTAATAGAGGGATAGAATCAAGATCACATGAAGTTCTAGTACCGCTTTACAAACCTTAATAAGACCACATTTGGAATACTGCATCCAGTTCTGGTCACCACAATACAAAAAAGATGTTGAAACTCTGGAAAGAGTGCAGAGAAGAGCAACAAGAATGGTTAAAGGACTGGAGGCTAAAATGTATGAAGGGTTACAGGATTTGGATATGTCTAGTCTAATGAAAAGGACCGGGAGAGGGACATGATAGCACTGTTCCAATATTTGAGGGGCTCCTACAAAGATGATGGGGGTCAAACTATTTTCCAGACCACCAAAAGGCAAGACAAAAAACAATAGTTGGAAACTAACCAAGGAGAGAAGCAATCTAGAACTAAGGAGAAATTTCCTAACGGTAAGAGCGATTAACCAATGGAATAGCTTGCCTTCAGAAATTGTGGGTACTTCATTATTGAAGGTTTAAAAAAAAAGACGGGATAACCATTTGTCTGAACTGATATATGGTCTCCTGCTTGAGCAACAGTTGGACTAGAAGACCTCCGAGATCCCTTTCAACTCTATTATTCTATGTTCTATGTTATTCTACAGTCTTGTAAGTTGTGATGATTTATAATTAAAACTTTACACATTTTCACTTTTCTTTGGCTTGTCAGCCCCAAGCAAGAGTTACATCGAAGGTCTGAAATCCAAACGGAGTAGGAAAGACAACAGGCTTTCAGATAATTCATAATGCCCTTAATTTTAACAGCATTAGATGATCTGGGCTGCAAAAACCACAGCAAAAGGTTAATAAATGGCCCTTTGCTGCCATCTATTGGCCACAAGATAAAAAACATTTCCATCACAATTATCCATAGTTGACAGAACTAAGATTGATTCAGCCCAGTTTTTTGGGGTTGCACAATGCCCTGAATTAATAACACAGGCTGGATTCCCATTGGCCAAAATGTAGTTGACTGTTCTGAATTGGTGCATGCAAATGAGGCTACTAAAATTTCTGCATTTGGCGCAAAAGGTCAAAGGAGAATAAGGTTATCAGTTGCCATCGGTAATTGCTCAACAGTATTCTTAGAATCAGAAACCGCTGCTTTGTAAGGGCCAGTCAAGAGAGCAACCAGCATTACAGATAGTCCTCGACTTACAACAGTTCATTTAGTGACCGCTCAGCTACAACGGCACTGAAAAAAGTGACTTATGACCATTTTTCACACTTACAACCTTTGCAACATCCCCATGGTCATGTGATTTATTTTCGGATGCTTGACAACCAACTCACATTAATGACGGTTGCATCATCCTGGGGTCATGCAATCTCTTTTTGTGACCTTCTGACAAGAAGTCAATGGGAAAACCAGATTCACTTAACAACCGTTTTCCTAATTTAACAACCTGCAGTGATTGTTAACAAATGTGGCAAAAAAGCAGTACAATGGGGCAAAACTCACTTAACAAATTTCTCACTTAGCAACAAAAATGTGGGGGGCTCGTGTGGTCGTAAGTCGAGGACCACCTGCACACACACACACACACACACACACACACACACACACACACACACACACTCTCTCTCTCTCTCTCTCTCTCTCTCTCTCTCTCTCTCCTGTTCTGCTGGTGGGGTTTGCATAGGTCACGAGTTTGATCACCCAACCTAGAAACAACACTGCTTGGTGCTTATCCACAGATCATGTCCAATGGAAGGATTCAAGGAATACAAAGTGCAATTAATTACGACCGTTACACTTCCTTCGCTTGTTTTTAAAACAGTCAGAAGAGGCCTTCGGCTGCCTCTAAACTGCATTTCCCAGAAGGCAAGGAATTACGCATGCGTTCATTGAGTTTAACGGCGATTTAGAACGCCTTCCCCAGTATATTGAAAGCTACCGAGCTAGTAGGAAACTGCCACAGCTCCTAATTCGTTCGTGATGTCTTCAGGAAACACCTCTCTGCTAGAATGACAGGTTCCTAATCAAATCCGTAGTTGGGATTACCAGATTTGCCAATAGAATAATAAAGTTTCCGGAAGGAGGCGAGGCTTAGAATCAACAGAAAGGAGGAAATGCTAGGACATGATTGACAGTCGAATACCCAATAAATCCTACCCACCGTCCAATCGTCTTCAGGCACCACCCATTCCCCCCTCCCCGCACCGAAGTGGGTAGCAACAGTTGCCCCGGTGAGGGAACACGGAGGGCGCCATAGCCACCGTAGTCGTGGCGACCAGGAAGCCCGGCAACAACAACAACAACCGCCCACCCTCCCTGCCTCTGCGCGATTCCCGCCAAAATCGAGAGAGAGCACGATAATCGCGACAACGTCCCCGCCCCCCTACCCTCAGGGGACGAGGCCTCGCGGGGCCGGGACAGTCCAGGTGGGTTCGAGTCCGGTTCCCCTTCCTTTTTTCCGTAAAAAAAAATGGCGAAGCCTATGATTACTCTTTTCCCTTCTCCGAAGTAGTCGGGAAAAGTGAGGCGGACAAGTGAGGTTTCTCCCCCCCCCCCCCCCCCCGGTGTTGGGCCCTTCCGCGGCCACACCAAACAGGGCTTGACGGGAAAGGGCCCAGGCCCTGAAAGGAGGAGCGTTGATTCTCCTCAGTGATTGGTGGGCGAGAGGGCCAATAGGAGTGGGTTGGATACGCTTCGGGCGGCCAATGAGACTTGGAGAGAGGCGGGTGCGGACGATCGCTCAGGAGAGGGGAAAAGGAGAGAATGGTTGACTTCAAACAGCGTCATAAAGTCGCGGTGACGTCACGAGCATGAGCTTTTCTTGGTGAAGTTGCGTAGTAGCGCTAATAACCCGAAGGAGTCCCTCTTATGAGAATTAATTAAAAATAAATAAATAAAGGGTTTTATAGAAATCCTGGTCGTAGAGAAGGTGGCTATTTAATGGAATAATTCCCATGGGAAAAAGTCATAGGTTAATTATAGAGTACCTTATTTAAAAAAAGATAGAGCTGGAAAGACTTTTGGCCAGATCATAGAAAGTCACTTTTAGACAAGAGGATAATGGCCAACTGCCATGTAAGAGCTGCTTACTTGGCTGTTTTTATAAATGGTTTGAAGAATGTGGGAGTTGTGTCGGGAAAGTGTTTCGTTTTGTTTTTGTCCCTGCTCCCTGTGGTTCTCAATAAAGCTCCATGTCTGCTCTGGACATGGATGCCCATCCTAGAAGCGGCAATACTGTATAGGTATACCACTGGTTTTTCAACACATAAAACAGATCCCCGTACCATGTTTAGATCAGATATTGGTAAGATTAGTAGAAAATTTTGAAATCAGAGGTTTTTGGGCCATGTGCTCGAAACAAACCTGTTGCTCACTGATAAGGCAAATTTTATGCAGAAGTTCTCAATTTTATTCTCTGGGAAACTCAGGATTGGAAACTTTTTTAAAAATAAAAGGTAGCCAGAGTAAATAGAAATCCTAGTGTGGATCAGTCCTGTAGGTGTTAGAATGCTAAATATTCCCCACCCCTACTAATAGAATTGACAGTATATCTGATTCCTCAAAAGGCAAACATTGCTGTCAAACGTAACTTCAGATTACTAATATAACGGATATCTAAAAGCTATGCTGTTTCACACAGGTATCTGTTTCAGAGTGCTTTAGGTAAAATTATTTGTGTCCTGTGCTTGTGGCTAGGTACAAGAGCACACCACAATTGGGTGAGAGTAATGATAAGAATAAGGTAAATAAGTTAAATAAGTTAAATCGCATTAAACCAAATGTAATGATAGTATAAGATAAATAAAAATGATTATGGATAAGGATATTAAGATTTGTCATTTATGTATTTTTTTACTTCGCTCAGTACATAAATATGAATGAATTCTTTTCATACAGGTAGTTCTTATTTAATAACTGGTCACTTAATGATCATTGAAAGTTACAACAGATCCCCCAAAATGCACTTGGCACTTGGCAGACAGCCTGCATTTACAGTTATTTGGTTTTATGTTTTTTGCCAGAAATCTCTACTTACTTTTGGTTTCTGACCAAAAACCCATTGAGAACAATGAGTTCATTTAACGACTACAGCATTCACTTAACTATTGTGTTTGCCTTACCACCAGGTACGCTTAACACCTGCTTCAAAAATGTCGTAAAATTGGGTCAGTCATGTGATGACCAACTTAACAACCAGCATGACTTATGACTATAATTCCAAGCTCAGTTACAGTTGTAAGTTGAGGACTTCCTGTATTTTCCTAATATTTATTCAAAATAACATTACAGCCTAATGTTAAATTTCCTCACATTGAGAGATCTAGGTATTAATTTAGATTCTAAAGAACTTTCCTATATTGAAAAGTTGTTGAATTGCTTCACATTTTAAGGTACTTTTCACAAACTGGAAATTGAAACTAATTTGAGGTGAAATATTTTTGACCATTCTAGAGATACTGAATGCCAAATACTGTTTGATATCCTAATGATGTGTTATACCTAATGTTTTTATAGATTGTTATGTTTGAATTGGATTGAAACATTAGTTTGCATTTGGGGGAGGTGCCTTTGATTTCTGGAGACTACCTGACAAATGCCTGCAGCTTTTTTGGCAAGATTTCAGAAATGATTTCTTGGTTTTCCTAGGGTTGAGAGTGACTGGCCCAAGGTCATCCAGCTGATTTTGTGCCTAAGGTGGGACTATATCTCGCAATCTCTCTAGTTTATAGCCTGGTACCCTACCAGACTGGCTCTCTTAGTTTGCTTTAGAAGTAGTTAAGATAACTATGGCTTCTGCTATTTATTCCCTTTATAGTGCATCATTTCTTTTCACCAAAACTTATGATAACAAACAGAAACTAAAGGAATGGCTGGCAGAACTTTAGTACTTTTTGAAAGTACTAAAGGTTGTAAAATGGCCCAGGTTGTAAAATGGCCACAAAATTCAAATGTTTTAAAACTGATCCTGCTGCATAGGACAAGGTAGATTTTAGCACTTTAATACAGTACCAAAAGGTCATTATAACCATTTAGAAATTACTAGTATCAAGTTCATACGTTTCAATCAACTTCACTTTTTACTGTTCATTGCATGGATATTCTCATTTAATGTAGGAAGAATAATTGTGGAATCTATTTTATGTTTCTATGTTTAAAATCCAGAAGTTACTGAAAGATGAAGGATTTTGGTTGCTTTGGAAAGGCTGAATGAAAATAAGTACTAACCATGGAATTGCTTGCGGGGGTTGGTGGTTTGAATTTCTCGAACATTAAATGTAATTTCTGATTTTTTTTGAAAATCCAGATTATACTTGTAATGTTGGCCTTTATTATTACAGGTTTAATTATAGACAGCTAGAACTACATGCCATATTATAATACATCATTTTTACTGGAATATGCAGTTTGGCTACATGTGAAAACCATTCCATTCAAGAAAAAGGTATTATTAAAATATTTTCAATATTTAATTTTTACTTCAACTGAAAATATCCAGTATTCAGAACCATCTAATAATACAAAGGTGTCAAACTCAATTTCATTGAGGGCAGCATCAAGGTTGTGTTTGACCTTGGTGTGGGTGGGTGGGTGGGTGTGTATGTGGGTGTGGCCAGAGGAGTATGGCCAGCTTGACGTCCATTTTTGGCTCTGACTGCCTCCTGCAGCCTTCTGTCAGTGAAAATGGACAGCGGGGGGGACACATGGCCTTCCCGAGCTCCATTTTCGCTGGAAGAAGCACTGCGGGCCGGTCCTTCACTGTTTCCAGGGTGGTCCCACGGGCCAGATCTAAACATACTGCGGACCAGAGCCGGCCCTCAGTCCTTGAGTTTGACACCCCTGATCAAATACATTGCTTAGGGTTGGAGAAAGAAATTGTAATAAGTCTGATTGCATGAGCGCCTTACACATGATTTCATCCAGGCACTGAAACGTAATTGTTTTATATAGCAGAAAGTGTTTCTAAGAAAAGTGACAAAACTGCCACTGCTCTGGCATTTGCCCACGCTGCATTCCTTTTCTTATTCATTGTGCGGTCTGTCTATACTCATGTTACTACCTTTACTTTGCTGATCAGACGGAAGTAAAATTCTGGAGATGTATATGGAACCAATCTGTCCCAAAAATGGTTAAACACCACCTTTGGGACAGATTGGTATCATATAAGGGAACTGAACGTTCTTGACAACGTTTGTTTGTCATCCAAGAAGCTTGTTCAGTTCTGGTTGAATGGTGGAGAATGGAAGGATTTATAATTTTACAATCATCTGATCCTTAGCATTCTGAAGGGTGGTCAATAGCTCTCTCAGACATTGAGGCCACTCGATGCAGTACCAAAAAGGTTCCACACCCATTTGCACTCTGATTCAAGTGACCCTGAGGGTATAGATAAACCCCCGAATGACCTCAACAACTCTGCTCAACAACTGTGAGAGAGCTAATGACCAACCTTCAGAGTGCTAACGACCAGATGACTGCAAAGAGTATAAATCCTTCCATTCAGCCAGAACTGAAGAAGCTTCTTGGATGAGAATTGAAATGTTTTCAAGGGAAAAACCCAAGAAATGCCAGTTGCTTTTTGAACAGCTCTTTTGAGACAACCATGACCTGGATGATTGAGAATTTCCATAGACATGGCATCAATCTCGTTATACTGTACTCCCTGGGTGGCATGATATGCTGCTCTTGAGTTAATGTTGAGGTTTAAAACATTTCAGAATTGTACTATTGAATAGTTGGGTTTGGATGTACAGTATACAGCTGTACAAATGTTATATACAGTATACAACATTTAGAGATGTTTTAGATTCACGAGACTATATCCTGTGAACAGAATTGTTGCCCTTTAGGCAGGATTGTAGCTGTTGGGATAGGAATGTACAATGCCTAAGAAATGTCATTCTTTTACAATATAAACAGGCTTTTTCTTTTTAATTTTTATGGATTCTCTAAATAATTGCATTAAGTAATTTTAATTTTTTTGGAAAAGATAAACATACAAGGGTAGAAATAAGAAATCTTTATATGAATCTCCTTTTCAATATTTAGCAAGTGCAGGTAACAAATTTTGAACTCTCCTCCACTATTAAGAGCACTTGTTAGCTCAGTTCTTAATTTGAGAGCTTATATCCTGGGATGCAGATGAATGTTTATCCATGAAGGGACACTATCCTTCTATTCAATAGATATGCCATTAGTAGTGCTCTGGCTGTGCTGGATTACATTCCAGCAGATTTAGAATTATAAAATCACAGGATTGGAAGGGACGTCAGAGGTCTTCTAGTCCAACCTCCTGTCTAGAACATGAGAACTTATTCCATCCTGATGAATGTCTGTCCAGTCTTTTCTTGAAGACCTCCAGAAATGGATCACCATAACTTGGGGAGGCAAGTTATTCCATTGATTACTTGTTAAATTCTTTTTGCAAATGTGCTAGTGAAAAATAGCAATAGAATGGCAACATACATTGAGCTATGTCAGACTATGATTGCGCTTTGTTTTGACTTGGCATATTGTGTGAATTGGCCATTTTAATTTTTGGACCATGGTTAATGGGCAGTGCAATGTATCAATCCAACCAATTGTGTCAGTACAACCTCTGAAACTAGCTATTAGGTAAGAACCAGATTTTCAAAGATAACATTCCTCTGTGTCAGTAAAAGACATAAATATGTGATCCTCCTTTGGATCAAGTCTGAATTCTTAAGGTTCTAAAAAGAGCAAAGTTATTTTCAAGTTCGACTTGCACACAAAAAAATGAGCAAGGGTATTGGAATCTTTGGAATGCAGTCTAAGCAGCATATAGCCGAGTTGTTCATGACCTAATACCTCCTACAGTTTTTATGCTTTAATATTGTGTTTTTTAAGGATTTGGCCATTTTAACTTGGAATAATTTGTAATGCTTATTTGGTTAAAAGAGGTTTTTATGGTCATCGTAAAGGATCAGAAAAAAGTTTTCCCTTCTGAGACCTCGAATGATACATTCAAAAATAGATAGTGCAGGACTCTATGCAATTACCAGCCTGCTTCAGTAAGGCAGCTTCTGATTTTCCTGACAAAGAGTTAAGCTCTGTTATTCAAAAGAATGATTATACACTAATCATATTGTCTGGCTATCTGAGAAAAACAGCCTTATGTGAAAATAATAATTACAGATAGATTGTAAAATATTCTTTAGCAACTGTGGTGATTTACTTACTACAATTGCAAAAAGGTCATAAAATTGGGTATGATGATGTGATGACTCACTTTACCAGTATACCACTTAATGATGAAATTTGCAATCCGAATTGTGGTTGTAAGTCAAGGACTACCGTATATGCTCCATGTATGAAGCAGCTTTTGCGGCCTTTACTGCATAACATAAGGTTATACTGAACATTGCTGTTGAGGTTCTCTGCACTTGTCTCTCCATTATTCTTTTAGCTTTAAACAATAAAAAGGGTTATTTTAAAGCATTTGACCATCCCAGGGTTGAAATGCTCTCGGTTCAAACCGGATCACCCGATCCAGTAGCGATGGAGGCGGATGGTTTGGAGAACCGGTAGCAAAAATCCTTGCCCCACCCCCCCCCCCCTACCCCCACCATTGCCCAGTTGAGCCGCGCAATCATCAGAGGCTTTTTTTTTTATTTTTAAAAGCATTTTTTCTACAACCTGTTTGGCCAAAAAAAATGCTTTTAAAAGTTAAAAAAGAGGCCTTTGATGATTGCGCGGCTCAGCTGGGATCATCAGAGGCTTTTAAAAGCATTTTTTCTACAACCTCTTCAGCCGAAGAGGTTATAGAAAAAATGTTTTTAAAAGGAAAAAAAGCCTCTGCCGATCAGTCAAGTCAGCTGGGATCGTCAGAGACTTTAAAAGCACTTTTTTTACGATCTCTTCAGCCAAAGAGGTTGTAGAAAAAATGATTTTAAAAGTTAAAAAAAAGAGTTGGCCACGCCCACTCAATCATATTACCACCACCCCCCAAGCCACACCCACAGAACTGATAGTAACAAATTTTACATTTCACCACTGGACCATCCCCAATACTAGGTTGTGATTACAGTAGTCACTTTGGGGTTTATCATTAATGTTGTTTGTCTGCATATAAAATTTCTGTCTTTCTGTCTGTAGAATGCTTTATAATTGATTAATTATTTTTCTTTTCTTTTTTATTCTATTTGTTTTTCTTTTTCTCTTCAACAAAAGGAAGCAAAAAGCCTTATTTATTATCATTTCCCCCACTGTTGGCATGGCAACACAGGCTTATGTTACCGAATTACAGGCAGCCCAACAACAATCACAACAACAGCAACAGTCTCAGCAACAGTCAGCAGCAACAGCAAACACAACAACACCAGTGGTGGTGGCAGCAGCAACTCAACAACAGTATGTGGCAGAATTGCAAGGTGCCCAGCAGCAACAGCAGCAGTCAACCCCAAAACAGTATGTTACAGAAATCCCAACTTCTCAGACGCAGGCTCCACCCACTGGACAACAGACACCAACACCACAGCAGTACATTGTAGTGACTGTTTCTGGTAAGTGTTTAAAGGGTGAAGGAAAGTGGGGAAATTGCCAGGAAAAAAAATGAGAGCGGTGGAGAGATGAAATGCACTTTATTTATTTACATAAATAAATAATGGCTTGTGAAAGCCATTATCAGTGCCACTTGTGTAAAGACAATCAAGTGAAGGAATAATCAGCCCAAATATCAAATAGTTCTGATTCAACCAGTTAGGGTATACTGACAATAGTGGCTGGCAATGTACTTCCTAGGCGGCTTTTAGGAAATATTTCCCTTTGTTTCTAGAACAGAATCCCTTAATCTGCCTTGAAATCTATTGGTGAAATATTCCCCTCAAATATTATAATCATTGAAGATCTCATTGCATATCTACGTAACTGAATATATATATAATTTGAACATTTCTCCAGATAAGTTTCCTTAATTTGTAGTTGTGTGATTCGCATTTCATAGCTTCTTTGTCTATCTTTTCTAGAAAAGTATGGTGAATTTCAAATAATAATTTGGTTAATCTCATCAATCCCAAATGAAATCCTTTTAAATTTACTACTATATTTTAAAATTGTTCTATTGAAATATATATGTACAAATATATAGGGTAAACAGTTTTAAATATACAGTATTGAAATACGTGATTAAAAGCTCAGGTGAGATACGCGATTTAAATTTGGTTTGCAAAAGTCAATTGAAGCACCCATTGAGTATTGCCAGCATTTTACTTGTCTTTAAATATATTTTCTAATTCTCTATCAGCTATTGTGAACAGATTAGTGCCCATCATTTTTGAATTATACACTTCTCATTGAAGTAGTTATATTGTATACAGTTATCACAAAGACTGAATTAGTGAATACTGAAATGTCTGGGAATGTCTGTGTCGAGTGACTATATTTTTCACTTCTCTGCATATCCATGAATGACTGTGAAACCTCTTTTGGCATCGATTTTGCGGTTATAAATAAATTTTGAGTAGGGAATTAGCAAATACAGAATAGTCTCAGCAAATTCATTCTGGGTCTTGCATCAACAATGAAGATTTGCATTTAGAACTTAGGTATGATGATGTGAATAGAATCTCTTCCCCCTGTGTGGTATGCAGCAGAACCTTTCTTTCACTAATCAGATTTTTATGATAGATAGTTCCTATATATTTTCAATAATAGCCCAAGAATATTTATCTATGTACGAAGTTTTAGAAGATATGACATGAACTTCACCGCCCTACACGGATCTGCAACGGTGAGATTCCAGGCCAGTTGGAAATTAAATATAATAGATTGCTTAAGTCTTCTGCTTACATTAATAATAATTGAAAATAGTCTAAGAAGAGTTCAGCATCTGTCTGACCAAAGATGAAGACTGCTTCTAACATGCCAGGGCAGATTTTGGCTTCGGTTTAATACTTGAATGAGAGACCACCAGAGAATTCCAGGGCTCCAGGTAGGACTAGAAAGTTAAAACAAAACAAAACAAAATGGTATAACAGTAATGGCATAACATTTTGGCACTGTTGCCAAAAATTTCATATGCATCGTTATAATTACTTTTAGTCCAGGCTGTCATGTTTGTTTCATGTTTTTAATTATATGCTTCAGTGTTGTAAGCTGTTCAGAATCTAGTGGAGTGAATGGCTATAATATATTTACCGTATTTTTCAGAGTATAAGACACACCTTTTCCCCCCCAAAAAGAGGGTGAAAATCTGGGTGCCTCTTATACCCCGAATGTAGCCCCGTCCAGCCTCACAAACAGAGATTTCAGAGGCTGAAAGAAATCTCTGAAAGAAGCTTCAGAAAAAAAGCCTTTTTTTCTGAAGCTCTGTTTCGGAGGCTTTCAGAGGCGAAAAAAAAGTTTTTTCTGAAACAGAGTTTCAGAAGTTTCAGAGGCAGAAAAAAAGCAAGGCACAGATCTCACAACCAAGGAACCTGTTGCTAAAATTCACCTCTGGGAACAGCTGATTGGGGGTATTCCGGGAGGCCAATCCACCCACCAATCAACTTTTCTTATTTTCCTTCCCAAAAACTAAGGTGCATCATATACTCCGGAGCGTCTTATACAACGAAAATTACAGTAATAAAAATAATAAAGTAATAATGAATATAGACATGTTTATAAAATCATGATGAGAGAAGCTTTATGACATTTCTTTTATATTTAGATGACAATATTTAGTTTCATTTGGATTTTGTCAAAATAGAAATTTAAATTTGAGTGCTTAAATGATTACCACGTATTATGTTAATTTTCTACACTTTGTTTTTGCTATAGATTGCAGAGATTAGAGAGGGTTGGAAAATTAGAGAAGAATGGGAAAAAGGTTGGAAAAAAGAGCCAGCTTGATCTAATGGTTAAGGCACCAGCCTAGAAACTAAGCAAGAACTAGTCCTGCCTTAGAGATGAAGCCAGCTAGGTGACCTTGGCCAGTCATTCTCTCTCTCAGCTCACTTCACAGAATTGTTGCTGTAGGAAAAATAGGAGGAAGGAGTATTAGATACTTTCAATGCTTTGAGTTATTTATAAAAATAATAAAGGCAGGACTTAAAAAAAAATCTGCCCAGTAATTTTCAGTGCAACGTTATTTTATTTGACTTTTGTGCAAAGAGCATATTATACTAGTGTCTCCATGGTCAGGCTTCAGCAATTTTTTTTGGTTAAGGATTTTTCATCTCGGAGCCCTTTTGCTCTGAAATGTTCCTGCACCCCTCTGAAGGATTTTAGCTTCCCTCCTTTCACAGAGTGGAAATCATAGGTAGGATGATTCATCCTATAGCTGCCAAAGGATTTCAGCTCCCCTGTATCCCTTGTGCTTGTATCCTTCCCTGCTGGCTTCCCCATTGACTTCCTGAATTGTCTAGCAACCAGATCACAGTCATGTGACAATGCGGAGGGCTGGGGTGACATTTTGCAACAATCAGAAGTGCCTTACGGACCATAAAACATTTCTGTTTATGAAGCCATTAAGCAAGGACTGTGTCTTGAGGAAGTCAATAGAGGAAGTGGGATTGCAGATTGTTGTTCCTCTCATAGCAGATGTTTCTGGGATAAATGAGCAAGCTATTTGAAATAATAAAATACTAGCTGGATACCCATGCTTCGCTACGAAACTATGTGATTGGACTTGATAAATCAACACTGCTTGAAAATTAAGTAGTTACGATCGGCCTCTCCTCTCCCCTTCTCTCCCTTAGCCTTGCCCCACAGAACCCTATCCTATCCTATCCCCCTTCTCTCCCTCAGCCTTGCCTCATAGAAGCCTCCCCTATCCTACTTCTCTCCCTCAGCCTTGCCTCACAGAAGCCTCCCCTATCCTATCCCCTGGTTGCTACAGTGAAAGTAAAACTGAAAGTGAAACTCCTGTCCTCTGTGTTTTGCATTTGGAACAGATTTCTTTTCAGGTGGGGAAAGTGCGTGTTAATCATAATATAGGAAATACTAATGCTGTGATGGTCATTTCGAAAAATCAATTTCTTAGTGAAAACCTAGAAGCCTAGAGGAACATATATGGCAAATGTCAAGTTTGTAGGCTTTGTGGTTCTAGAGATTTTGTGATTACGGTGTGAGTGGTTTTCGCTTTTATATATATAGATTGCAGCAGAATCATACTGTTTCCTTATATTCTCTGTGTGTATATACCATGCTTTCCCAAAAATAAGATCCTGTCTTATATTTTTTTGAACCCTGAAATAAGTTCTTGGCCTTATTGCCATGCGCTCAAGAGCCCATTGGGCTTATTGGGAGATTAATCTGTTGGCATATGGAATTTTGAATTTTGTTCTTGTTTTGGAGCGATCTTGGTAATATCACAGTATCACAAAGATAGGTAGATCAATTGTTTTGATTGAGGTTATGCTGGAATGAAAGTTAACACAGCTTCCCCAACCACGAAATAACAAGAAATCCTCTCAATTTGCCACTTAATGTTTGACAGCATGATTGGAGTGGGGTCTGGAGGATCAGAGAATAGGGACTTAGGGGCTTTTAATTCATAGGCTACAGATTAACTATCCTGCAATAGTGACTTTTTTCTTTGCAAATACAGAACGCTTCTCTTCCGCATTTTTATGAGATATTAGACAACCCGTGCCCTTTTGATATTTCCTTATCTAAACAAAGAAACACAATATCAGGAGAATAGAAAAGCAGTGGGAGCAGGCAAGGTTTCTGACATCCTACCGCTTACCCGTGGAGTTTGCTTGTGGGAATCTGGCAGGGAGCATTGAAATCTCCCTTGCCCTGGCCCCTAGCCCTCCCTACCAGCAGTCAGTGGTTATTGCTATAGAGAATCATTGCTATAGAGAGTCATTGCTATAGATTTTAGAAGATTGTGTAAATTAGCCCATTTGGTATCTTGGTCCAAAAATTGCTGCCCTATGATGCACTATTTCACCCAGTTAATGACAAGAGTTTTGGCAGTATATAGACTTAGTTTATTGGAATTTATTCCGTTTTTATAAATCAGCCTTTCTTCAGTTTAAGAGTTCATTTTCAGTGTATGCTGAATTCTATTTTCATATGTGTCTTGGCGAAAATCAGAGATAGTAAAAGGTAAGGGTGATACCTCTTGTTCATATTGGGGTACAGATTATTTTGAATTACACTAATTTTCCATCCAGCAAGTAGAAGCAGCAGCTGATTTTCAGCTACACTGCAAAAAGTGAAAGATAATTATAAATACAATTTTAAAAGGCACCATAGATAATCCAATTGAGTTGCTTCATATGTTTTATTAAATGGTTATTGATTTTTTTTTAAATCAGTGTGTACAAAACTCATTTAATTGGCCTTTTTTTTTTTTTTGCTATTTGTAACAAAATACATTCAAAGAGGCCAAAAAAATGGCCTTTGTGGTAATGATCACTTTCTTTTCTGGCTCATTCTAAAGTTAAATATCCACTCTCTCAGTTTCCCTTTCTTTTGGTGGAATTGAACTTAACACATCTCTGCAAGTACAGTTTTGGCTCAGGTTCAAATAGATTATGTTGCTGTGATTGTCTTTCACACAGTTGCCTTATAG